AATTTTCTAGAGCGGCTCAGAGTTCTCAGGAAAACAGTTCACTTACTAGATTTCTGGCTTTCTATAAAAAGGATGCAAGTCAGGAACAGCCAGATGGAAGAGATGCACAGGGCAGGGTGGGGTGGAAGGAGCCCAAAGCTCCTCTGCCGTGTCCAAGCGAGCTGCCCTCCCAGCGCCTCCAGGCTTCAGCTACTGGAACCTTCACATGCCCTTCAGTTAGGGGTTTTAACGGAGGTCTTGTTTACATAGGCATAGTGATTGATTAGTGATTAGCTCAGCCTCCAGACCCCCTTCTCTCCTGGGGAGGTGGAGGGGGCTGGCTGAGTTCCAACCTTCTCATCACGGGTTTGGTTCCCCTGGCAACCAATCCCCATCAGTAGGGGCTTTCCAAAAGCCCATTCACAGAAGCTCAGGTGTGGTCGAAAGGGACACCCGCGTCCCCTGCATCGGCAGGCGGACTCTCAACCACTGAGCCACCAGGGAAGCCCGATTTTTATTTTTTTAATATATGCCTCCAGGCTTGTAAATAATAGAGGCATATCTCTTCAAGAAAATATGCTTTTGGTTCATCAAAGGGAGCTTATTTGCATCAAAAAGGTTTCTTTGGAAAACATTAAGAGGTTTTTTTTTTTTCAATAATAAGTGGCTCTTTTTAGTTAAATACGAGTTCAGTAAGTAGTTTCGCTTTACAGTTAGAGTGAAGTGTATCTGGGTGTTGGCATGACGTGGTGTTGACTGTGGGGTCTATCTAATTCTGCTCAGCAGCCCCCAAGAGTCAGGAGACGTCTCTGGATTTGGTGGAGACGGGGTTGGTGAGGACAGTGGGGCTTTAGGGAGACTCCCATGGCAGCAGAGCAGTCTGGGGGTTGTTTTGTGCCGTGGGCTTGAGATCCCAGTGATCACAAAGGTAGGGGTGGGAAAGCTCAGCTGCGTCCATCCGGTGGTGGCACTGGTTGGGGGATGAAGGACAGTGAGGGAGTGAGTGCCAGGTTCCTTGGCAAGAGGGAGTCGCTGTTTTGAGGATGGCCTTGAGGATTTTAATCCTGGAGTCAAGTTTGCCAGGATGGTGGTGCACTGGTTGTTGGGATGGCGAGGTGGTGAGGTAGGGTGTGGGGATGGATGATTCGGGTGGGAGGAGACGTTAGCTGGTGATGTGGATTTGATGAGAGGGAAAAGCTGAGTGCTAGATGCTCAGAGACTGAAAAGGAGTGTTGGTGAAAGGGGCCCATGCTTGGAGAGTCTGAGAACGGGCAGGTGCAGACGACTACACGTTGATGCAGTGTGGTTGTATCCGCCCGTGCCGGCTTTCTCACTCTACAGAAGCTTCTCTTTCATGGCAACTTGTCCAGAGCTGCTTTTTTCCTTCTCAAGTAGATGGTCCACTCCCTCTGTTTTCATCTAATCTTCCCCCCACCCCACCCCATCATTCATTCTAGGAAGCTTAACCCTTTTCGTGCACTGTCATCCTTCTGCCTCAGTAGAGCTCCCTTCACCCGCCGACCCACCCTTCCTTTATTCTTGGAGGAAGATTCCTACCCTCTCGGCTGTGAGGAACACCCCCATTTGTCCAGCACAGCCTCGCCCTTCCTCCCTCTGGGAACCTGCAGCTTCCTTTCCATTTCCCCATATCTCCAGCTCTAGTCCTCTGTACTTGGGATCACACACAGAGCTTGGAGGAGAGATTATGGATTTCCTTATGCACAGAATCAGAAGGAAATGGACCTCCTCAGGTCTCATGTCTTAAGCATTTTAAGTTTTATCTAGTCTCTTCAGAATTTCGTGGTTTTCAAACCATGCAGCTTAGAGCCCCAACAAGGGGAGGGGATGCTGGGCCCCACCCAACTCCCACTCCATTTTGAAAATTGGAGCTTCCAACCTCTGTTTCAACCTCTGTTTGGAAAGAGCAGCTCCTTCTAAATTCTGATTAAGGATTTATCTGGGCAAAGCATTTGTGGCTTAAAGAAAGTGAACCACTGGTTTCAAAAGTGAATCATGGCGTATACTTCTACGAGTTAAAGCCACTATATGTTAGCACCTTAATTAGACTGTTTCATATTTTGGAGAATCTGAAGGCATTTATATTATATTGGAGACTGATTGCTTTCATAACTTAACACTGGAAAGAGATTAAAACATTACAAGACCAAAACAGTCTTAAATAAAATTGTTTGTGTAAATAAGTGACATAAAAATTTTGACCTACTTGTCAGAATAAGGCCTGTCTCCCAAAGGCTTCGGACTAACCTCAAAGACAATTTTGCATTCCTGAGACAACAAGATGACCCAGCCCATGTTCTACCTAAAAGGGCATCTATTAGAAAGTGATGAAGCCACGTATTGTAGAGCCAAGTAGAAAGTAATAGATTTGAATACTGACGTTTGTGTGTACATAATGTAGTAATATAGTGTTGGCGTTGTCAAGTTGAGATGTATCTGTGGATGTATCTATGGTACCTAAAGCAGACCTCACCAAATTTCCTTCCTCCCCTCTTCCCTGTTAGAAACGCTGTCTAGAGGTGCACACCCGTGCACATGTAGGTGTGTACACACCTACGCGCATCACCAATGGCCCGTGACTTGGGACCTTCCCTCTGCCTTTCCATTGCTTTTCTGCATTAGAAAGGAATGAAAGGTGGGTGGCCTCTGCCCCTCTAACTTGAACCCCTTTAATCTGGCTTCCTCATGGACGCGTGGAAGGCCCACCCTCTTGGTATGTAATCCTCTTACCTCTCTGAAAATGCTTTTGATCGGATATCTTCGTTGGAGGTCCCACAGACGCAGAGTCAAAGACAAGGATCTGGGTGCAAGTCCTAGTTTATTTGGGATGGAGGTAGGGGAGTGGGAAAGTGAGACCAGGAGGAGACGGTGGCCGATATGGGTGCATTATTAAGCCCGTTCCCGCTGTGGGCAACAGGTGGGTAATTCTGTGGGGAAGATGTGAGAGCTGGTATGGAACACTTAGCTCAGAGCTCTTCCCCCTGAGGGGCGGGGCAACTGGGGTCTTTATACGCTAACTTGAAGGCTGCTCTTGAGGGGCGTGTAGGTGGCAGAGCAGATTATGGTGACAGGAGGGAATAGAGCTGCTGGCAGTTGGAGGCCAGGAGACGTGCTCTGAGGTGGTAAGGGGAGGGGATCTGGGTGGGGTACCAGCTGCGTTCTCTATCCCAGACTTCGGACCGGACTTCATGGTTTGGTCTGTGGAGTAGCCTGACCCATGCTTGACACTTGGATTGTTCCTCGAGAATCTTTAGTTCCAACTCCCTTTAAAAAGGCAAGGAAAAGCCTACCCTTCTCCATAGTTTAATCTTTCCTTAGAAGTCATCTCAAGCGCTTCTAGGTCCAAGCATTTTCAGTCAACATACCTGAAATGGATCGGTCTTGAAGGGCAGTGCCTGTTAGCACAGTGAGCATAGTGATTAGTTCTGGGGACACAGACCTGAGAGCCACGGTCCCGCCCAAGGTGCTCCTGGGCTCCTGGTTGGGTGTTGGATGGCTTACCTAGAGAGAGTCCCTTTCAAGTGAAAGGGGCTTGAAGTGAATCACCTAGTCATCCAAAAACTATGTGCGTGGGTGCTTCAGAATTTGGGTCAAACATCCTTTGCTTCCAGACCCCAGCTCTGCCTTGTTGGCCAATTGACATTGGAGGAAACAGCATTCAGTCTCTGTGGGCCTCAGTTCCCTCCACCGTAAAATGGGGCTACTCATCCCTACTTCATAGGATTATTTTGAGGATAAAACATGTTCATCTTGAAAAATGGGCTGGATTTGGGAAGAAGAGAGGACAGGGGTATGGGAGGGGAGGAGGGTGATAATGATAGTGAGACAACAGAATAAAGGTAGGAGAGGTGGGTTTGGAGCGTGGCTGTGCAGGGCATTGAATCTCAAACTCAGACAGGCCTTGGGGCTTTGCTGCAGAGATAGTGAGGTTTCACTGCATCTCAGGAGGGCTGAGGAAAAGGGCCTTCATTCAGTTTTTACTGATACTCTTTTTTGGTCGTTCCTGATATGTGATATTCTTGGCCACCAGAACTGTTCACAGGACTGTTCACAGGACTTAGAGCTAAACCTTTAGGGAGCCTGGTTTTGGGGTCCTTCTGAACCCGCAGTCCTCAAATCCTGGATCCAGCCTGTAGGACCACAGGACCCTCTTGGCACGATGAAAATCGGCTTATATGGAAACATATAAGAATTTAACACCGTCGTACCCAGACTTGGTGCCAACAAGTTCCAGATCTTAAAACCGTACATTAGCCGCTGGTCATTTTCAGTGTTGGAGGGGGAGTCTCGTGCTTAACAAGGTGGTGGTCTCACAATTATAAGTCGATTTTGTGTGAAGATATCAGTCTTATAGGGGTTCAGAAAGTTCCTCTATTGACAGTGCAGTCTGATCGGTTGACATTCCAGAAGGTTCCTGGAAGAGGATGTTCTATTTTATTTTATTATTATTAAAATTTATTTATTTTTGGCTGTGTTGGCACTTCGTTGCTGCGCGCGGGCTTTCTCTCTAGTTGCGGCCAGCAGGGGCTACTCTTCGTTGTGGTGCGCGGGCTTCTCATCGCGGTGGCTTCTCTTGTTGTGGAGCACAGACTCTAGGCACGCAGGCTTCAGTAGTTGTGGCACGCAGGCTCAGTAGTTGTGGCTCGCAGCCTCTAGAGTGCAGGCTCAGTAGTTGTGGCACACAGGCTTAGTTGCTCCGTGGCATGTGGGATCTTCCCGGACCAGGGCTCGAACCCATGTCCCCTGCATTGGCAGGAAGATTCTTAACCACTTTGCCACCTGGGAAGTCCAATTTTTATTTTATTTTTAGTTTTTGGCTGCACCACTCAGCTTGTGGGATCTTAGTTCCCCAGCCAGGGATCAAACTCGGGCCCTCTGCAGTGAAAGCACGGAGTCCTAACCACTGGACCGCCAGGGAATTCCTGAATGTTCCATTTTAAAATGGAGGCTGTTGGTGGTTTCCATCTACTTCTCACCTGTGTTCCTTTGATCTTTATCTTAAGCCGCTCACGTTTCCCACCTGGAGAATGTGTCAGAGGAAGAAATGAACAGACTCCTGGGAATCGTGTTGGATGTGGAATATCTCTTTACCTGTGTCCACAAGGAAGAAGATGCAGATACCAAACAAGTTTATTTCTACCTATTCAAGGTGAGACTTCCACATTTTGAAGAGCTTTTCTTCTTTCTTTCAGTGTTCAAATATGCTCATTATCAATGGGCCAGGTCACATGGGAACGCTCTCAGCTTAGATACGTCTTCTGGCCCTCGGGTTTGCAGAAGCATGTGTTTCTCCGTGAGGGACTCTCTAAAATGACCAACTGTACTTTGAGCACGTCACTCTCCTCGAGAGCCTTCCTACTTGTACACAGAGCTGAATATCTTTATGTGCTTATAGATTTCTTTCCATTGCCTATCCATCCATCCAACAAGGACTTACCACATACCTGCTCTATGCATGGCGCTCGTATAGGCATGAGAGATAGATCAGTGGGCAAAACAAAGTCCTTGCCCTCATGGAGTTTACATTTCAGTAAGAGAGGCAGACAATCAACAAGTCAACAGTATGTTTGCCGGTGGTGATAAGTGCTGTGAAGAGAGACAAAGCAGGGGAAGTGGCATCAGAATGGCAGGGATGCCAGGGGCCTGTGGCGACCTGGTGCTAAGGAAGAGCAGTTAGGAAAGGCCTGTCTGCGATAACAGTTGAGCAGAAACCACAGCGGGGGCATGAGAGGGCCGGGGAAGCGCCTTCCAGGCAGGGGCGTGTAGACCATGTTCCGAGTGAGCTGGACGTGACTCCCCAGCATGGTGGGGCCCAGGCGGCAGGGGGAGGCAGGAGAAGTGGCTGGAGGGATGCTGCTAAGATAAGACCTCGACTCTTCAAGGGGAGGAATCAAGAATATCCAGATTTGTTTTGGCGTCTTACCGCTGTTCTCTGTGCCTGCTGACACCAGTCACCTAGCACTGCTGCCACTCCCCGCCTCTGCCTCTTCATGGCTCTGCCTCAGCTCCATTGGGTCCCAGCCCCTCCTTTCCCGCTGATATGGGTCTCCCCACGCTGGTGATGGCGATCAAGACTGACAGATGGGGGAGGGAAACCGGGGGTGGGAAAATGGAGAGAGGAAATTCAGGTTGCCCAAAATAGATGCACAAAGGAGGCCGACAGAAGGAATAATTTAAAAAGCCCCAGAACCTGCTACTGAGGGCACTGTTGATTATGTTGTATTGTGTAACCCTTATAAGGATCTCTAAAAACAAAAACAAAACCCCAAACACTCCCCTTCCCCTCGGGGCTTACAGCCAGGAAAAGTTTGCCTCTCCTAATGAGGGCTGGGCTTCATTTTGTATGACAAGGAGAGATCCATTTTCCTTTGAGTTTCCTCTTTTGCTTTGGCTGCTAGGAATCTCAGGGCAAATTTTATACCCAATTCTTAGAACGTTGGTGAGGGCAGAGGGCTCTGAATTTACTTGAAATATGTGATTTTCCCTTTTCCCCTTTTATTAACTTTTGTTTTTTATTGTACTACTGGGGTTTTGGGGGTCGATGGGGGACAGGAGTGGGAGAGGGAATTCTATTTTCAACTTGTGGAGTCACGTGGGGCTGTTAACACTAAAACGGTAAATGTTGGGGCGGGGTGTAGGGGGAGGAAGGAGAAGGCAAGGGAGAGAGACCACAGCCATTAGCAGGCGCCAGGCTGCTCCAGGTGACAACTTGTTGACATGACCGTGAGGCCTGAGTCATCTGGACTGAACCCTGGCAGGTTCATACTGTTTAGAGCTTCTTTGGAAAAAGGCCTTAGTTGAAGGAAAACAACGTCTGCATGACTGCAGCTATTATTTATCTTGGAACTCAGCTCCCTGGCGGGCGGTTCCTCACCGCCCTGCTGGAAGGGAAGGTTTCCATCCTGTCGGCCTCCTCTAGGTTCTGTTTATAACCAACCAACAGGCCAGAAAACACTGCTCCGCTTTGAAGTATGTTTTCTCTCTCCCTTTCTTACCTCTCTCATCTTTAGCCATGCAAATATCTTTGCTCTTGAGAACAAAATCCAAAATATTCAGCATTCTCCCCTCTCGTCCCCCAAAGTCATTCTTGGGGCAAATAAGTTATAAATCATCCGTTTCTTAGTTTTGGAAAAGCAGTTCCGTGTCTCTTATGTCTCCATAATTAAATTAAATTAAAATGTTATTGTGCATTTTAGTAGCATTTTGGAAGCTTCTTCTGCCTTAGAGGTTGAAAATGAACTCGGTGAAAAGCTGCTTCCTGAAGCTCATTTTTATCCTAGTGTTTGTCAGCGTGGTTCTGGAGCTCAGCTATAGCTGGGTCCCAATCCTGGCTTCATCACTTAGTGAATGTGACCTCAGGCAAGTCGTGTTTCCTTATCTATAGACAATGATAGCACCTACTTCAAGAGGTTGTTAGGAGGATTAATGAGGTAATACAGATAAAGAACCACAGAGAGTGCCTGGCAAAAGTCAGGAAGCAAATCCTTGCTGCTATTATTAAAGTCTTCGTATATACGCCTATTTATCCCAGCTTCATCCTTTTGTAGATGAAGAAGCGGAGATTCGACACCTCCCCAGTTCATCCGTCTACCTCCAAATTGAAACCCTCAGTGGGTCAAGTTCCCAAATGGTCTTACTTTAACTGGACGAAAATGTAGGCAGCCAGAATTATTTGTATCTAAATTTGATAATCAGTCTTTTTATATCCTTAGAAACACATACAACAACTTATCATCATGGCACCTTTATTTTTGTAAAGATGGGCATGATACATTGATAAGATCAGCAAATACTACATGTGAGTAATTTACTTGGCACCTCTAGAAGGAAATGAGGCCCTTATAAGACCCGGCTCAGGGAGCACACAGGGTGTTCTTCAACCTTGGGGGTTCGTCTATTTCCACTAACTCCTGGGAGAAAGTTTGCCATGTTTTGTTTCTATTGAAGAGGCAATCAGTGGAGAAAGGAGAGAAAGATGTAAATAAATGTGTAATAAATAAATAACTATGTAATAAATAAATGAGTGAATGAATGAATGCATGGTCGTATATCATAACTGGCCCATGTGTAAAGGTTACTGAAGGTTCAAGCAAAGGTTGAAGGTAAAGAATTTCAAGATCAAATTTATTTTCAAACTAGGTCTTAACGAGTGGTTCCGCGTTCTTTTTACTCTCTGATATTTGCTCTTTGAGGGCTTTAAATTCCAATGGCAGGGATTAAGAGCGACGTTTTTGTTTTATGGGCGTTGAGATGCCAGAACACTTGGCCCGCATTCTGTGGATGGAGAGGAAATGAAAAAAGACCTCAACAGTGAAAGTTGCCAATTGAGAGCCCTACGGAATTCCTTCCGGAAGAGCCTGGGCCCTGGATTATGTGTGCGACACACAGCCGTCACACACAGCCCCTGCGCACACAGTGGACCTCGGCCTTTCAGGGGTTTAAATCAGGCCATCCAGAGCATGAGCACATCTGCAGCGGCCTGGATGGGCGTGTGCAGAGGGTGCAGTGTCCACCAGCCTCTGGGTCAGCAGAAGGCACGAACAGAGTGGGGAAGGGCGAGTGAGCAGGAAAGGTGTGGCGCGGCTGTGTGCTCCCAGCTGCCCAGAACACGAAAAGTGTTTAGCTTCTCCCAGCTCTGGTCACGGGCGTGAAGGCAAATTGCGTTACCTGGTAGTCACCCATGTTGTAGATCTAAGGATTTACTAACATGTAATTAAGATACATAGACTATGGTAGCTTCCCTTTGAAGGCTGTGTGTGTGTGTGTGTGTGTGGTGTGAGATACTGTGTATTTCAGAGAAAAGCCTAAGCTTAAAATGTCTCAAAATAATATGTTAAAATGAATTCCCTGGTGGTCCAGTGGAATTCATTCCACTGCAGGGGGCGCGGATTTAATCCCTGGTCAGGGAACTAAGATTTTTCTTTAGCACATCACGATTGCAGCGTGCATGTGCATGCGAAGGCACCGCCAAAAACAAAAAGACAAAAACAAACAAACAAAAAAGAATGCTAAATTTGTTACTCTTACGTATTACCTTTAATCCACATCTTGGCTGATTAAATATCTTAGGAAAAAAATAACATCAAAGTTTAAATGGGGCTTCTAACCTCCAACTGATGCAGCCTCAACTGTACTGACCCTTAAATTCCCTCCAAGGCTGACCTCCTACCTCACCTTCCTGCAAATGCTTTTCCGTCCTCTTGTTGTGTTTCATGTTTGTCCTCCCTTCCAGACTCAGTTTATACCCTTCCTCTTCTGCGACATCTTCCCTCGGTAAGGCAGACTTCTGAGCTCTCATCCTCTGGGCTTTATACTGCACTTACTGCCTTTGCAACTTATTTGGAATTTCTCTTCTACCAACCTTTTTTTTTTTTTTTTTTCCTTTTGTATGTGGGAAGACAGCGTGGTGTGGCCTGGCCCACCTCCATTATGTGGCCTCTTTTTTTTTAAGGTTTTGTAATACTTTTATGATATTATTAGTATTAAGCAAGACAACATTATTAATATTATTTAGAAATATCGTTAAGACCTAAATTCTGATAAACAAAAAGAGGAAGAGTTGACACATTAAGTAAATTAAAATAAAAAAAATTATAGAGACCATAAATAAAGCTAAAAGGCAAACAACAGAATGGGAGAAAATATTTGTAATCTTTTTTCTTTTTCAATTGGGGTGTAGTTGTTTTACAATGTTGTGTTAATTTCCACTGTACAGTGGAGTGGAGTTCCCTGGGCTATATAGCAAGTTCTCATTAGTAATCTGTTTTATACATATTAGTGTATATATGTTAATCCCAATCTCCCAATTCATTCCATCCCCCTTTTCCCCCCTTGGTGTCCATAAGTTTGTTCTCTACATCTGTGTCTCTATTTCTGCCTTGCAAACAAGTTCATCTGTACCATTTTTCTAGATTACTGTGGCCTTTTTTTCCCAGCAAGATTGTAAGCTTGGAGAGTCCATAGTGTCTGTGTGTGTGTGTGCGTGTGTGACACTGACTGATTTTTTTTAAATGATTTCCTTACAGCTCTTGAGAAAGTCTATTTTACAAAGAGGAAAACCTGTGGTTGAAGGCTCTTTGGAGAAGAAACCCCCATTTGAGAAACCTAGCATTGAACAGGTAAAGAGACACAAGAGAAGCCCCTTTTTCAGTGCTTTAAGGCTGAACAAACGTTCTCATTTTCATCCTCATTGATGGCTTAGAGATGTTCAAGTCTGTAGGAATTGTCTTGGGCCCTTTGGATCGGAAGTGAATACTTAATGTAATAAATGATCTAGCTTGTGTCTCTTAGGGTTGCTTAACGCTCAGAATTCACTGTGTGTTTGGGAAAGAAAAAAATTAATAGAGCATGTAGTTCATCAGAACACATGAAATGGGCTTTTTCTTGGTGTTGATTTCTTTTTTTTTTTTTTTTTTTTTTTTGCGGTTCACGGGCCTCTCACTGTTGTGGCCTCTCCCGTTGCGGGGCACAGGCTCCGGACGCGCAGGCTCAGCAGCCACGGATCACAGGCCCAGCCGCTCCACGGCATGTGGGATCTTCCCAGACCGGGGCACGAACCCGCGTCCCCTGCATCGGCAGGCGGACGCTCAACCACTGCGCCACCAGGGAAGCCCCAGTGTTGATGTTTTAAAATTAAGTCTTTGTCCCTCTGTTTGCACTGTTGAAAAGTCTATTGAGGCAAGGGAATTCAGGAGCAATGTGAAAACATTGTAAGTCAACTAAAAAGCAAGCACAGAAAAGAAATGAGATTTTGTTTCCAGAAATTGGCTTCCTGGTACATTAAGATTCCTGCAAAGAAGCCGAGATTTACTTGGGGAATCTGTTGATATGTATAGACCTTTTCTATTAGGTGTTGTCAGGATTTCTCATCAGTATCCATTTTTTGGCCCATCATTGTTCACCTAAGTAAATCTCAGATACTCTGGACTGAATTTCTTGATGAGAATAATTACAGAAGACATGATATCAGAAACAAATAAATGTATTTTATCAGTCAGTTTTTCATAGAAAAAACGTTGTCTCCAATCCCTACGAAATAAGAATTCATTGTTCCTTTATTTGAAATTAAATTAGATGGGAGTGTTCTGAAGAAAGATTAAATTAATCCACAAATCCACAGATTATTATTTTAAAAGGCCATAATTTTGAATAAGAATTTTCTTTTGGTAGGTTTACTAAAACCTAAAGAGTGAATAGTAAAAGTTCAAATTCTAGTGGTTTAGTTCAAAAATTAAAATTTTATGAATGTAAAAACATTATATTTATCCAAGAATCTCATTATATGTGAGCTACTGTGTTGACAGTATAGCAAGAGTTATGCTGCAAAAGAGCCATATTTTATTGTTTATGGGGTTTTGACTTTTTCGGTCCGTGATTTTGAATTTTTCTTTAGCACGTCACGATTGCAGCAGGCATAGAATTGCAACTCAGAGCCTCTGTGTCTTGTCACTTTTCATAGACTGTGATCTGGGGCATGATTCCTTCTGGGCATTCCTGTTTTCTAAGAGGGAAAAGGAAGAGGTTTTTGTGAATAGAGAAATGTCTTTTCTTTTGCTAATGACCACCAACGGGGCTGACTATGTGAGTGTTCAGGATTGCACAGCTGCGTGAATAAATTGCCTTTCCTCCTTTTAAGGGTGTGAATAACTTTGTACAGTACAAATTTAGTCACCTGCCATCCAAAGAAAGGCAAACAATAGTTGAGTTGGCAAAAATGTTCCTGAACCGCATCAACTATTGGCATCTGGAGGCTCCATCTCAACGAAGACTGCGATCCCCCAACGATGATATTTCTGGATACAAGGAGAACTATACAAGGTAAGCAGACGGCCGGTTCTTCTTCTTTGGCCCATAAAGTACATTGCAGACATAACATTGCTACTTGCCTCTGCAAGCAGAGGGTTGCCCAGTTATCACGGGACTCCATCAGTCAGAGAGAACGTCTAAATTACCTCCCCAGATTCCTACTCTTCATTCATAGCATGATGTTTTGGAGGGTGAGGGATCCAAATCATCTAGACCTGAACTCTTTAATACGATAGTTGCCAGCCACATGTGGTCACTGAGCCCTTGAAGTGTGGCTGGCATGAATGGAGATTTCTAAGACTGTACAAAAAAAGAATGTCAAGTATTTCACTAATAGTTTAATAGATTTTTATATTGATTACAGGTTGAAATGGTAATACTTTGGAAATATTGAATTAAATAGAATATATTAAAGTTAATTTCACCCGTTTCTGTTTACTTTTTTAATGTGACTTGCTGGGAAATTTAAACGTGTGGCTTACATTTATGTGTGTGGCTTGCATGGTATTTCTATCGAGCACTGCTGATCTACATAATTATACTGACTCTGTAATTATTATATAGAGACATCATTAAAAAAATAAGCAATGACCGTGAATATAATAGTGTTAAAATTTTTTTTTAAAGAAGGAAAGATCACCATAGTCCCAGCAGCATGGTATAAATAGTATCGTTATACATATTGTCTTACAGTCACTGTCCCTTTAAATAGATATTTTACATTTGTTAGAAGGAAAGAAAATACAAAATTTGCATCCTTTTTGTCCCCCATTCAGACGTTTTACTGGTTGTATTATAGTCTGTTGAATTGATGTACTGTAATTTACCTAATCATGTCCCTATTGGTGGACATCAAACATATTCCTGGATTACACATCCAAGAATTACACATTTTTCTAAAGTGGGAATTTATTTTTATTACTTATGACTTGCAGAACAATAGAATTGACTTAAGAGTCATCAACATGGGCCCTACAAAACAGAATGACTTACATTTATTTTTATTTAAGTAAGACAGTGACTTGTATTATCCATTCTGTTCACCCTTTTTATAACTTTTCCCATTTATATTTTATAGGCACATCAAGCTTGCTTCAGGGTCCCCCCCCCAACCCCGATTTAAAATAGGCAGTGTTTTTCGACAGCTTGTAAAGACCACTTGTACCCAGGTTATTTTCCGTAACAGCGGATGACAAAGAGGAATGGGTGTAGTTGAAGATAAGCTTTTCTCTCTGATCACTGACCTGATTTCATGAGTAAAACCCCCTTTCCCTCTTTTCTCCCCTTTTACAATATATACAATTTGAGTTATAAAGTATTTTATCTTAATAATTGTAAAATTTACAGATTTCTTCAAAATCAACTTTTTAAATTATGTCTTCATTTTCACACCTTCATTTCAGAGTTTTATATTAACAGTAGTTCCTATAGCATCGTTACTCCTGTTTATGAGTTGAGATAATAGAACTCTCAAAAATATGTGTCTTTTAACTCCATCTGTGAACAACTGACAAAGCTGAATATCTGTCAGAGCCAAACCCCTGAAAATATTTGCCTCTCTTTTTGTTTGTTTTCATTTTTTTCTCTGTCTTTGTTTTTCTTTTCCTTTGGTCGTGCCAGCTTGTGGGATCTTAGTTCCCTCAACAGGGATTGAACCCGTGACCCCTGCAGTGGCAGCACGGAGTTCTAACCACTGGACCACCAGGGAATTCCCAATATTTGCCGCCCTTAAGAGAGGAAAAATTGTTTCATCAAGAAGGAGAATTAATTGTGAAGCAGCACGGGAGTTAATGCTGTATTTTAGAAAACAGAATAAAAATACTGTGTAGCACTTGGGAATTACCAAGAAATGGGCGGCACTTATGAAGACTCAAGGAGTCGTAAAAAATAGAAGTCGAGTTCTGGAATGAGCGATGGGCTTGAACCATGGCTCCATCCCTCCCCAGTTCTGTGTGTGTGTTAGAGCTCTCACCTCGCCTCCTGGACCTTCTGTTTCTTCCTCTGCCCGGTCCCATGGCTGTTGTGTGTCCCCTCAGGTGGCCCGTGCCTGGCGTCTGGCGCACAGCACAGGCGCTGGGAAGATGCTACTCATGCTTTCCCCCCAACCCACGCCCTCCAAAACTCAAGTCACTGCCAGCGCGCGACTCTTCAGCTGGAGTGTGTGCAGTGGGATGAGAGGGTAGCGATTTGAGGGTCACTTTAGAAAGGGCTCCGAGAGACAGCCGCAGGGTCCTGGCTGGCCCCGCCTCCTCGCCCCAGCCGAGGGCGGAAGGGTGGAGTCCGATGTGGGGAAGGGAAGCGGCGAGGGGCTTGAGTGAGCCTGTCCTGCAACCTGCCGATTTCTAGGCTGGACGGAGATCAGGAGCCTCTGTAAATAATAAATAAGGGAATGAAGGTAGATATACCTCCCGTCTACCCCTCCTCCCCCGCCCCCCCACCCCCGGGCTTCCCCACCACCGCCGTGTTGAGGAAGAAAGGGAAGCAGAGAGGAACAACCTGTGAACATTATCACAAGCGAGACTTGTTTCGACCACGTGGGAATTTAAAAAACCACACGCCGCTGCGGCATGGTGTGTCACTGATACCATCTTCTCCAAAATAGGTCCTGTTACAGCTGCAGGCACCACGTGGCGTGTCAGTGAACCTCAGGAGTTGGACTGTTGGTTCAGCATGTAATTTACAGCAGTTGTAGCCATTAGGACCGAGGGGCGGAAAACTCGTGGAGTGCACATCAGCATGAAGATGGGGAGAAACAGGATTCTCTGTGGAAGAGAATAGACTCAGAAAACGATTATGTTCCTCACAAAGCTAACCTGTGAGGATCTAGCCAATAAAAAATTAAATGCAGACTGAACAGTAGAACTGCTTAAATTACTTATCCTCTCTGTTCTGACTTAAGGAAAAACGTAAATATTTTATATGTTAAAAATATCTGGTATATTAATGTTAATATACTTAACCATAATAATTTATATAAGTATATATTAAATATACCTTTATATGTCCCCCAGAAATCACTGTGGTGTTGGAAAAAAATCTGGACAAATATTTTGAAATTCCTTGAATTCCGTGATGGTGTGCTAATATAATTTCACGAGGAAATAACTGGAAAATAAAGTGTCAAAAGAATACGACTTCTTACAATACATCTGACCAACAGAATATGCTAAAGGAAAGTGGCAAATAATTAGCCTTAGATTTTCAGTTGTGCAGACCTCAAAATTAGAGGTCATGCCTGTACTGGGGAGATGCATTGTAAGAATACTGAGCAAGTTAGATATAACTAAATTGATTTTGGTGAAACAGTTGTATGTAACTACTGCTGTATGAGGTTATAGCCTGTCACCATGCTTCCTGGGCGTTCATAATTAGGTGTGTAAATCTAGGGCAGTATTTATCACAGAGCGTGGCAAGGACAGTGGATTGGCGCTCCGGAGACCTAGCTTCTAGTGTGGTTTCTAAAAGTAACTAGCCTTTAGTTTGGGAGAACTGGGAGAGGTCACTTAATTGCTGAAAACCTTAGGATTTTCAGTCCAGCAAGTAGGTAGGATGACATGGTCTTCTGCAGTCAAGTTCTCCAATTCTGTTCACGTTTTAAAGAAAGCAAAGTGGTTGCAAATCACCACGATGCCGTTAAGAAGTCAGAGACAGTTGTTTGAACCATCAGTCAATTGCACGCCCATGCCGTCACCGTTAGGCATACAAAGATCCCTGAGCTGTCCTTTCACTTCTTTGGAGAAGACCTGAAACCAGTCGTTTAGGTATAATCCTCTCCTCCAGGTTAGTCTTTGGGGGAGCGTGTGAGCAGTGACAAGGCACACATTCATTCCCGTTTCCTTCTTTCTGTCTCACCACACGCCTGGACTGTGTCATTTACTAGAGCAGTCCCCGAAACACCACACGCTGACTCATCTTCTGTCTTTTCATACTGTGCCCTTACAGATTTATAAAATAAGATTAGTCTTGCAAGTAAAAACAAAACTAAACTACAAAGTGTAAACTGAGGTCTATAAAAATGATTCTCAGAGGAAATGAATGGCAACCTATTATTTGAAAATTTTTACTAGATAATAATCTATGCTGCCTTCCTCTACTCTGGGGAGAGTGAATGACCTATTAAGCACTTTGGGACATGAATTTATGAATTTATGATAGTATTTATAACCTATCATTGCCATAGCAGAAAGAGCATCTGTCTTTAAGTAGGGTCTCTGACATCTGTGACCCCTATAGATGGAAATGCTCTTTTAGACACAAAATCAGCACTGCCAAATAGGATATAATATGATCCACAAAAGTGAGCCGCATATGTGATTTAACATTTCCTCGTAGCTACATTAAAAAAATAAACACAGGACATTAATTTTAATAGTGTTTTATTCACCCAGTATATAAAAATATTATCACTTCACCATGGAATCAATATGAACAATTATTAATGATGTATTTTACTTTTGTATTTTTGGTACTGAGTCTTCCAAATCCAGTGTGTGTTTTATACTTAAAGCACATTTTAATTCATTCACTAAATTTTAAGTGGTTAAAGATAAATGGGGTTCTACCAAAACAGTAAAGTTTTGTTTAATGGAAAAATATTTCACAGCATTTCCATTTGAAAGGAAATTTTATTTATTTTATTTTTTCCTTTATGTATTTTTAAATTTCAGTATAGTTGATTTACAATGGTGTGTTAGTTTCAGGTGTACAGCAGAGTGATTCAGATATATTGATATATATATAAATCTATTCTTTTTCAGATTCTTTTCCATTATGGTTTATCATAGGCTAGTTCCCTGTGCTCTACAGTAGGCCCTTGTTGGTTGAAAGTAAATGTTAAGTTGATTAAAATTAAGTAACATTAAAAATGAAGCTCTTTGGGACTTCCCTGGTGGCGCAGTGGTTAATAATCCTCCTACCAATTCAGGGAACACAGGGTTTGAGCCCTGGTCTGGGAAGATCCCACATGCCGTGGAGCAACTAAGCCCATGCGCCACAACTACTGAGCCTGCGCTCTAGAGCCCGCAAACCACAACTACTGAGCCTGTGTGCCACAACTATTGAAGCCTGCGTGCCTAGAGCCCATGCTCCGCAACAAGAGAAGCCACCACAATGAGAAGCCTGCGCACCACAACAAAGAGTAGCCCCCTCTCGCCACAACTAGAGAAAGCCCGCACACAGCAACGAAGACCCAACACAGCCAAAACTTAAATAAATAAATAAATTTATGAAAAAAAAATTAAGCTCTTCAAGAAAACAAACTTATGGTTACCAAAGGCGAAAGGAGTGGGAGGGATAAATTAGGAGTTTGGGATTAACATATACACACTACTATATATAAAACAGATAAATAACAAAGTCCTACTGTATAGCACAGGGAACTATATTCAGTATTTTGTAATAGCCTATAAGGGAAAAGAATCTGAAAAAGAATTATATATTCACATGTATGTATATACACATATGTGTATATATAAAACTGAATCACTTTGCTGTGCATCTGAAACTAATATAATATTGTAACCTAACTGTACTTCAATAAAAAAAGAAGAAGAAAGAAAAAACATTAAGCTCTTCATTTGTACAAGTGCTGAGTAGTTACATGTGGCTGGTGGCTACTGTATCAGCACAGGTATACAACAGTCTCATCATCATAGAGGCTTTATTGGACAGTACTGGTCTAAATCCTTAAATCCTTATATATCTTCCATTGCAGCAGATTGGACATACTTCTAATATTATTAACATTTACAAACAATCTGATGATAGCCTAAGTCTCATGAAATTGAACTGATGATTATGGTTTGTGATGACATTTGTAGTTTCATAATTAGTTCCCTGGGAGCTGGCCTCCCTTCAACTCCAAATATTTTAACTTCATTTAGTGGCCACAGGCTAACTTCCAGCAAAGATTGGCTTCGAAGGTGATGAATTTCTATGTGAAGTGCCTTATGGATTACAAAATCAGTTAACCTCCTAGCTCCTTCTGCTCCCAAGGTCGCTGTTTCCGACTTGACAAGATACAGTGCAGCCCTTAAGATGCCCATCTGGGTATTGTGTCATAAAATGACATTTGGGTGTGAATTACTAAGACAGAAAGGTTGAGAGGAGAACAGAAATAGTAGCAGGGTTTTAAGGTTAATTTTGAATCCAGGTAGATGAACTAACACTAATGAAAGGTTTCTTCCCCAAATATGAAACAGTCCCACCCCATACACAGGAGAACTAAGAAGTAATACAGAATAAGATAAAAAATAAGTCAAGGAGCATGAGTAAGTGAATATTGTTCCACTCTTTATTGAGGGGCTGACAGTTCATTGGGGTGTCCTTCAGCAGTCTGGGCGCATTGGAGCACGGCCCCCTGTCTTAAACTAAGATCAGGAAGGCACACAGGGAGGAGTGGGTTTTATTTGGGGAAAGCAGTCCTGTCCTGGAAGAGGATGTTTGGGTCTGCTACCAAGGAGCAGGACCTGGGCAGTGAAGCCTCGACCCTTGACCCTGGTCTCTGCTGCCCTCTGCGCCCCACTGTGTGCCCATGTTGCTGGGAATTTCAGGGCTTGCATCTCCGGGTGACCCTGGAGAAGGTGGGTCCCTTGTGGGTGGACGTTCATGTTTTAGCTTCTCTTGGCTGAACGAGCTTTCTAAATCATATGCTCTGCATAGCCCGTGCGCCCCAGAACTGTGATCAGGTTTCAGGAAAGCCCTGGTTTCCCTCTGGGAACTCCTCCAGCCCTGTGCAACGCTGAAATGCATTTTTGACTTTGAGTCTGAGTCATTGAAAACGTACCTAAGCAACAGATGGTGGAAGCTCATTACTTCCTGCGTTTTGACTGAGTTTTGAACAGTCTTGAAGATCTTTATCTTCCCACCAAAGCTGTGGAGGTATGTGAATGCTGCGTAGGCATTTTAAAGAAGCCTTACATTTTACTTAGAGGATTAGATGGGGGAGTTCTGATTCTTCTGCAAAAGGGACTGCCTCGGTTTCCCCTTTCATTCCTCCTCCTATTTAAAGGATGCTGCAGAACGGAATGATTCTAGTAGAACTGGACCCAAGTGGCTATGGCCGGGTGAGCTAACCTACTAGCTGGTGGTGATACTTCTGCTCGTCACTGCAGACCTGGCCTCTCCTGCTGAGGTTGATGATACAGAGTAGCCGTCCTTGGGTGTTCCACATGGTCTGGGGCTTAAGGGATACTGATGGCGTGCTCTCCTCTGGTTGCAGGTGGCTGTGTTACTGCAACGTGCCCCAGTTCTGTGACAGTCTGCCTCGGTACGAGACTGCCCAGGTGTTCGGGAGAACCTTGCTCCGCTCTGTCTTCACCGTGATGAGACGACAGCTCCTGGAACAGGCGAGGCAGGAAAAAGACAAACTGCCACTGGAGAAACGGACTCTAATCCTCACCCATTTCCCAAAGTAAGGGAGTGGTCTTGTGGGTCTTTGATGCAAGGGCTTAAAACTGATGGATACACAGCAAAGCCTGCCTCAGTGACACAATCAGGAGGGGTAGGAAAGAGGGACCCCATCTTTCTCAGCTCCCTCTGGGAGCCTCCATGGGTACTTTCCAGCCCATCTGAGATGAGCTTGACTCTGTACGACTGGTCCCTTAGCCTCGCCTCATTCCACCTGAGTCTCATGGGGCTGGGGGGTGGGGTGGGGGTGGTTGCGGGGGGAATGCTTTGTTTTGTATATTCAGCTGCCAGGATGCTAGTGGGGGGTGGGAAAGGTGGTGCAGAAGCCATTTCCATCTTCCCAGAAGTGGTGCAGGAGAAGTCAGGTGGCTGGTTCTTCCGTCCCATGTCTCCAGCCATTTCCTTTTTTTAATTTTTTGGCCCACCATGCGGCATGTGGGATCTTAGTTCCCCGACCAGGGATTGAACCCGCGCCCCTTGCATTGGAAGCACGGAGTCTTAACCACTGGACCTCCAGGGAAGTCCCATCCAGCCCTTGCTAAGATTGGCGGATCAGTCCCGTCTCAGCTAGAGTGAACTAGACCCCAAGAGCGGGGCCGGCTGGGAATAGAGAGGCCTCCTTCAGAATGATCCCTGTTCCTGTGTACTCAGTTTCTTGTGGAATGTGCATGCTCTTGTGCACCTTTGCTTCTCACACCTGCCAGAACTCCAACATGTGAATAATCATTTAAACGTTTTTCAAATACACGCAACGTGTCAAAGGGATAGGAAGTTGCAGTGCCACACCATTGGCCTTGGAAATGAATTTTCAGTGCGAAGAACCCAAAATTTAAGCTAAGAGGCTGGGTGCTGGTGAGAGGCTGGGGGTGCAGGTGATGGCTTGTCATGGAGCAGTGACAGCAAGACAGGAAGGAGGCAGTTCATTCTGCCTGGAAGCACCGGTCTGCAGGGGTGGAAGGTATCATTTGAAAAGGCATTCTAGGTCTGATAGAGTTCTGCCATGGAGAACTGCGAGATAGCAGAGTTTCAGAGAGGAGCCATTATAGTCTTTGAGCAAAGATTGATGAAATCCTGTTTTATCTGAGAAACTGGATTTTTATTATTATTACTATTTCTGGTTTACCCAATTTGTATCTCAGGAAAGATGATAGTTTTAATTTTTAAAAATAAGTGAGGCCCAGGGCTTCCCTGGTGGCGCGGTGGTTGAGAGTCCGCCTGCCGATGCAGGGGCCACGGGTTCGTGCCCCAGTCCGGGAAGTCCCACATGCCGCGGCGCGGCGGGGCCCGTGAGCCATGGCCGCTGAGCCTGCGCGTCCGGAGCCTGTGCTCCGCAACGGGAGAGGCCACAACAGTGAGAGGCCCGTGTACGGCAAAAAAAAAAAAAAAATAAGTGAGGCCCAAAACAAACAATAACAAAAATGGTTTTCTGATGAAAATGGACTGAACAATTTTTTTTTTTTTTTTTTTGCAGTTTAACACGAATCTCAAACATTACGTAGAGGATAATTCTAATGAGCTTTAGCTGAACGTCCAATATTTGAACATAAGTCCTAGCCACCTGATTTTCAGTATTTCCTGAAGGCAACCAGCACACGAGACTGAGGCAGGACATGGACCCTTTGGTATCCTCCAGGGAGGAAGGTTCAGAAGCACTTAAACTGCAGTTTGAATGTTGCCCCTCAATGGGTAATGAACTCTGGGCAAGCTCATGTATTTCAGTGGCTGCCTTTTAACTGTTCTAAGCTTCTTTCCATAGAGATTAAAGCAGTTTTCTTATTTCTCTATTACATTTGCCACATAAGTAGCATTTCACGTGTTCAGATTATAGTAGTCGTTCTGTCTCTGAGCCAAGGGACAAAGAGGACCCCTCTCCCGTCCCCCCTCACACCTTTTGTGGTGCTTAAAGGGAAATTTTAATTACCTTGCATAGTAGCAATTTTTTTTCCCCCATAGCAAACTCAGTTTGCTTCTTGCAGGTATTTGCTAATTATAGTGTTATGTTCATTCAGCCCATAGTTCTGGCATGCTTATGCTGTTCAGCTGAAAAATCAGTGTTGCTTTCTTTTTATCTCTGTTACTAATGGTAGGGTAAAACTACCACCCACTTCTCCTTTTAAATCCCTTTTCATTGAATCTGACAACATTTGAGGCTGTTAGGGATTTATACCTGCAGATTTGGCGGCAGAATCTCATACTGAAGCCGGAGGTGCCATTTGCATCTTGGGCACCAGCTCAAGGGGAGGGCTGCAGACTGCTTCTCACACCTGGTGAGATCGCCGTGCTTCTCAGATGCATCTTCAGAGCTTACATCCTTATCTTCCTGCTCTTCGTATGTTGCCGCTTCTTCTGCTTGGCTTTAACGTGTGCCTTTCCCCGACGCCACCCCCATCCACCTATTTACACGGTTGTTTTTAAAAACTTTAGTATCTGCATTTCATTCTAAAAGTGATGAATGGACATGTTGATGAAAATTTGATGCACAGGGAACAAAGAAGCAAAAGACCACTATAACCCTACCACTGTGATATACTTTTTGTGCTTTTAGATATTTCAGTTTTTTCTCCGTGTACTGCGTTCTTTTATTCTATATATAATTTTGTATTCTCTGTATATAAAACAAGCGTTTTCTCATAGCATTAGATGAGCCTGTTCTTTATTTTATTGAAATAACTAAATGTATGTATGTGTATATATATATGTATGTGTGTATATATATATATATATATATATATAAAATATAACACACACATGATTATTTTCCTAAATTATTAATGGCATTCTTCTTTGGTGAGTCTCTTTAGGGCTTTGTGAAGTGTTCCCATTATATAATTACTGATAAAGAAGGAGCCTGGAAAAGGAAAGGAAATTTACTTCTGTGATAAAGGGCAGTTGGGGAAATCTTGAGGGCTGTGTGAGGTGAAGGCAGGGTCTGCTTAGCACAAGGGGGAAATGCACCGAGAACCTTCCGTCTTGTCAGCAAGGTCAGAATGTGACCTTAGTAAGGATCTTACCTCCTGTTGCTGTCAGTCTTTCTGTGTTAGATAAGAAACATACTAAAGTGTTTTAAAGAATAAGTTAATGGTGGCTTGCTTGGCAAAAGGCGACTCATGTCGTTTCTGTAAACCATGAATTACACAACTGAGTGCAGGTAGATGTTCACGCAAATGGTACCTTATTCTTAAATCTTCTGAGTATGAACAGCAAGTCAGAAGACCCTCAGGACCTTTCCCCACCTGTCTTCACTTCCAAAAACGCAACCTCTCCCACCCCGAGACCTTCTGAAGTCTTGCCGGATTTGATTAATGAGAAGACTAGTGGCACTTTCAGTAATTGTGATGATGATGATGATGATGATGTTAATGTAGGTCCTTGATCAGTTGTCCATACTTGGTCTGTTTCTCAGTTCAAGTTTTAAGGTAACTTGACACCTTTATAAAGGTAACATAACACATGGGCTATACATTATCATAGCTTTAGGGGTGGGGGCAGGTCCCCCAAAGCAAATCCATTTATAAAGACTGTAAGTAGTCTTACGTATGTTTTGTTGCCAAATGGATTAGGGAAAATACTTTTTTTAAGGGCTTTTGGATTTCAGAATTTCAGAGACAGGATAGTAGACGTATATACTAGCTAACCTTTATTACATCATTGCAGTGTAAACTTCTTGAGGGCAAGACGAGGTTGTGTTCCCTCTACCCTCCAGCACCTGGCACAGCACCTGGCATGTGGTGGGCATTCAGTGTTTGTTGAGTGAATGAATGAGCACTTCCTAAGGGGTCATCACCATTTGAAGCATGACATTAGTGTACTCCTCACTACCATCTTCTGTAGGAGTTACTGTTGATATTTCCATTTTATAAAAGTGGAACCAAGGAAGAGGAAAGTTAAGAACTTGTTCCAAGGTCACACAAATAATAAGTGGTGAGTTTGGTAATTGGATTTTAGAACCCAAGCTCTTAGCCATTATTCTGTACCCCTCCATGAGAATTAATGTGCCTTAAAAAGAGGCTTTCAGGAAGACATTCCAGTACTAGGAGTATAGATTTGTGTTGGTATTTTAATCATAGTTCTTCTATTTTGGGGCACATAAGAACTGTCCAAGGTACTTATCAAAAATCAGTTGCCCAGACCATTCTCCCAGACTCCGATTCAGTAAGCTTAGGTGGGGTTTGGGTATCTATACTCTTACCAAGGTATTCGGGTGATTTCTGTGGGCCCCCAAAACTTGAGATCTGTTTGTTTATAACACGACAGGAAATATAACGTAGTAATTAATCACACGTTCTGATCTTGGCCCTGCAATTTACTGGTTGTGGGACTTTGTACCAGTTATTGAGCCTCTCTGTGCCTGAAGTTTTTCCATCTGTAAAATGGGTACAATAATGGATCCTATCTCATAGGTTGTTAGGAAGATCAAATGAGTTAATATACACCAGCTACTTAGAGCGGTGTCTATCCTATAGTAAGAGCTAGGTATGTGTGTGATAAATAAAAATAAAATACGTAACTCATTGGGTTGATGTGAAGATTCAATAAGAAGTTCTTACCCAGAGAAAACCATAATTCAAAAAGACACATGCACCCCAATGTTCATAGCAGTACTGTTTACAATAGCCAGGACAGGGAAGCAACCTAAATGTCCATCGACAGAGGAATGGATAAAGGAGACGTGGTACATATATCCAATGGAATATTACTCAGCCATAAAAAGGAATGAAATTGGGTCATTTGTAGAGTCATGGATGGACCTACAGAGTGTCATACTGAGTGAAGTAAGTCAGAAAGAGAAAAACAAAATACTGTATATTAAGGCATATATGTGGAATCTAGAAAAATGGTATAGATGATCTTATTTGCAAAGCAGAAATAGAGACACAGAAGTAGAGAACAAATGTATGGATACCAAGGGGGAAAAAGGGGGCTGGTGGGAGGAATTGGGAGATTGGGATTGACACATATACACTATTGATATTATGTATAAAATAGGTAACTAATGAGAACATACTGTGTAGCACAGGGAACTCTACTTTATGCACTGTGGTGACCTAAATGGGAAGGAAATCCAAAAAAGAGGGGATATATGTATATGTATAGCTGATTCATTTTGCTGTACAGTAGAAACTAACATAACATTGTAAAGCAACTATACTCCGATAAAAATTAATTAAAAAAAAAAAAAGTTGTTCTTAGGACAGTGCAGGCACATGGCAAGGATTCCATAAATACTATAGTGGCTTTTGTGATGGAAATGACGGTGACAGTGACTGCTCTGTGGAGGGCTGGAATCTGGTTCTGAGATTCCCTGAGGGGGACTGGGTGGAATCCATTTCCACTGATGTAATGCTCTGTGTAGTCTAGCTCGTATCTATCTATGCAGAGCCCAAAGAGAATACATCTGTAGAAATGCATTCTGTTATTAGAATATACCAGGGCTGCCCAACTAAATCATCACTTGAGTCATAATTGACTAGCATATTTCTTCTTTTTTTTTTTTTTTGCGGTACACAGGTCCTTTCACTGTTGTGGCCTCTCCCGTTGCGGAGCACAGGCTCTGGACGCGCAGGCTCAGTGGCCATGGCTCACGGGCCCAGCCGCTCTGCGGCATGTGGGATCCTCCCGGACCGGGGCACGAACCCGTGTCCCCTGCATTGGCAGGCGGACTCTCAACCACTGCGCCACCAGGGAAGCCCCTTGACTAGCATATTTCTAAATTGAAGATGGAATGCTGGTGTTCATGTGATTGCCGTGGGTGGTCAGGGCTTTTGTCCCTCTAGTAATGCATTAGTTTTGACCTCCTGCTTGCCTTTACTCTTGTGCCTAGGTTTCTGTCCATGTTAGAAGAAGAAGTTTATAGTCAAAACTCTCCCATCTGGGATCAGGATTTTCTCTCAGCTTCTTCCAGAACCAGCCAGCTAGGAATCCAAACAGGTAAAAAAAAAATTTTTTTTTGCATAAATCAAAAAACAACCAGGAAGTGTTCGTTACAGTTCACTCTGCATTTATTTGTGTTTTTCATCAAGAATTGAAGACTAGCACCAGCAAAAAAAAAGTAGAAGCTCTGGCAAATCTTGCATCTACATCTCTGTTGGTGAGGAGAGCAGGTGCAAACCAAACAGTTAAAATAACAACAGCTGCTGCGCCTGCTGTGGGAGTTCGCTCAGCCCGCGCCCCACAGCTGTACGGGAGGTTTAAACCCAGGCGGCTCAGGTCTGCAGTCAATGCTGGATCTTTTTGAAGACACTTACAGTCTCGGTCAATGGCCACATATGCCCAGGAATCATGTCTCCGTCTGGTTTCTGAATCTGTGGGGTGTGGTTTGGGCATCAAGTTGCTCTCGTGGATAATGGTAGGATAGTGAGTCTCAGGACGTGAAGTGGGGTCAGGGCGTCAGCTGGCATTGCCTCGGGTCCGCCAGTGGCCTCAGCGAGCATTTTGTGAGGAAGGAAGATGTGTAACTCCTGGAGTCACACTGACCCTAGAAAGAGGGTCTGAATTCCTGCCTTGGATGCTCGGAAAATTTGGAGAAGTTTGGCAAGAGATGCCAAAGCAGTAATTTGTATGTGGCCTTGGGGAAAGATAGAATGCAGAATTTTGATGTCGAATTTTTAGTAGATCTAGTTCAATGCGTCACACGGGGGCTCTTAAGTATTGCCTCCAGCAAAGGGTAATTTTATTCTCGCCTTTCCCCCACCCCCCAGTTTTTTAAATTGAATACATACAGTGAAAGGCAACCTTTTTAGTATGTGGTTCTGTGAATGTTGGCAAACACACGTAGTTAGTTGTGTAACTACCACTACCATCAGAATATAGAAAAAAAAATATATAGGACAACTGCGTCACCCCAGAAAATTCCCTTGTACCCCTTCTGTAGTCCATTCAGTGCTCTAACCCCCAGCTTCGGCAACCACTGATTTGTTTTTTGTCCCTGTAGTTTTGCCTTTTCTAGAATGCCGTATGAGTGGAATCCTAGCGTTCTGACTGGCTTCTTTCACTCAGCATACTGCATTTGAGAAGGTGATTAAAACTTTTTTTTCATCTAGACCCCAAGTTTGGATGCATATAATTAAATCCTTCCAAGCAGAGGACTTAGGGAATGAGGTATTTTGGTTTGGATCAAACCATCTTTGCTTGGCTTCTTGTTACCAGAAACATCTTTTGTGCTGTTTTGTCACCTTAGGTCATAGAATATAATTTCATGTTTCTCTGGTTCAAAACCTGTAGCGCTCTGGGGCTTTTCTGTGCATGGACAGAACTCCAGACCTGAGTGTCAGCATTTCCTGGACGTGCTCTGTGTAGCACCTGGGCATGTGTTCTGTATTTCTCTCTCTGTCCCCATGTTGTTCACTTTGTCTCTGTCTTTATCCTACCTAACTTTCAAATGGCATCTCTCCCACAAACTCTTTCCTGATTCTCCCCATGCCTTCCAGTAAGGGCTGGATCTCCTTTCTTCCGAATGTTCGTGGAAGCTTGATAATATCCTGTCGCCGGTTGTTTAACCTGGCTGCACCGTGGCATCACCCATGTGATGTAAAATACTACTGGTTTCGAATAGTGTTATTTATTTGTGGTATGATTAATTATAGAACTTTATTAATTTGAGATGCTGTCAAGGAAGGGAAGAAAATATATTAAAAACTTAGAAGAATTAAAAAAAATGTTTAGAAACCACCTAAATTTATAGCCTGACTCTTAGTGACTCAGTAAAATATGCCATATAGAGGTTCTTGTTTCAATAAATAGTTAAGAATTGCTTCTATCAGTTTTTGCCAGTAGATGCTTCTGTATGTTTGAAAATAATTTCCTTCTTTCCCACAATTATCTCCTGATTTTCTACAATATTTATGGCACTGGTTTAGATACTGAGAATAGCTATAAATAAAACAAAATGATTTATTTTGAGTAAAAAAAAATACTACTGATCTCTGAGGCCCGTCCCAAGAGGGTGTGATGTAACTGGCCAAAGGCATGGCCTGGACGTGGCCTGGACATCGAGACTTTAAAAACTCCTCAGGTGGCCTGATGTGCAGCAGTCTGAGTCACACAGCACTCACCTCATGCTACCCTCGCCCCCTTTTCTCTGTATGTCTCTGTCTCCTATGAGTGTGACTGCTGCATGGTCAGAGACCCAGTTTTGCCACGAGAATAGCTGATACTTCCAGTAAGTGCTTGCCCTGAGGTTTGCTTCCTGTCTTTGAGCCTTAGCACAAACCATGAGAAGCTGGTGTGATTATCCCCTTTATGTGGATGAGAAATGAGAGCTCAGAGAGGAGCAACCAGTTGCCCAAAGGCAGAGCTCGTGAGTGATGGGACTGGGCTTCACACTGGGTCTAATTCCTGTCTCTTGCCCTGTGTTAAGAGCCAGAGCTCTAACCGCTGCTCTGCACGGCCCCAGTGTGCTTTGCACATGTTCAGGCGAGCGCATGTGGAAGGAATGAGTGAAAAACATGGGCCGGGGACACCAGAGCTATTTGTCAGGGTCATCTTAGTTCTTTTCTGGAGGGCCTTCTGGAGAGGATTCCTCTCTGGGTGAAGACTTCCCTTGACCCTCACCTGCTCATGATGCCTCCCAGTCTGTCCCACTTCCATTGTGTTGTCTGTCATCACACAAGATGGAGAAGGCGGGACGTCTCTGACCCTCTGGGAATTTCAGATTCATCTCTGTGTCTCAGATTGTCACCCAGTTCAGCTGGAGTGTCAGTATTACCTGCCGCCGTCGGAAGCAGGCTGTCTTCTCCTGTTCTGCTGTAATTGCAGTGTGTTCTCTGGGGGAAGAGGAAAGTGTAATCACCTACTTAATTGGCATGTCTGCACATCTATGCAACTGTGATAAATGACATTCATAATGATGGCTCTGAACTTTTGCAAGGTACTCAGATGTCTTCTGAATCACCAGAACTTCCCCTTTGTGTAGAATCGCTCCAGGGTACTTAGAAATTCAGAAGGCTTGTTTGCTGGGAGGAAAGCCGTACAGCCTGGTGCTTTAGTATATTCTGATCCCCCGTTTTTTTCTTTTTCTTCTGGGGGTGATGGTTTCCTCACCTATGTTTTATTTATTTTTATTTAAAAATTGTTTTTATTGTAATGACCTATATGGGAAAAGCATCTAAAAAAGAGTGGGTGTATGTAGATGTATAACTGATTCACTTTGCTGTACGCCTGAAACTAACACAACATTGTGAATCAGTATATTCTGATTCTTTGCATACCAACCGCTGTTCAGTTAGGATCGCTATGGGTCCGTGTCTCTCCGTGGCTTGGTTTACTTACTCCATCACTCTCTTGGCTAACGGGGAAAGTCCCCCGTAGACCACACTGTGGCTGCCTTGACACCAAGATGAATGTGCTCTCTGGGCATCTGTCTGCACTGAGAATGTCCGTGTCCCTCATCAGTCTCACCTCATCAGCTACGGATCAGCAATCACACTAGCACACAACGTCCTGCTTCCTATGAAGGCCTTTTTGAAAAAAGGCAAAACAAAAAGGTTTTGTTTGGAAATACTCTCGAACTTGCAGAAAAGTTACGAAACTAGGACAAAGCAGTCCTGTGTGCTGTATGTTCTTTGTTTAATTGTTAACATTTGCCATACTTGCTTCATCATTTCTCCTGTTTCTCTGTCTCTGCCTCGCTCCATAAATATGTGTGCGTATATGTATGTTTTTTGTCTTCTAAACTATTTGAAAGTTACAAACGTCATGCCCCTCTACTGGCTTCAGTGGGTATCTCTTAAGAGCAAGGACGTTTTCTTATTTAACCGCAGTATAGTTATCGAAGTAAGGGATTTTAACCTTGATGCAATATTATTATCTAATCTATGTGCTGTTTTCCATTTTGCCCCTCATCTCAGTGATGTGGTTTATGGCAATTTCTGTGTCACATCGGGAGGCACGTAACGTTGACCTCTCCCATTATTGCTGGTGTGCAGTTTGATCACTGGCTTAGGGTGGGCTTTAGGAGGTTTCTCCGCTGCAGTGTTACCATTTCTCTTTTTGTAATAAAAAGAACAAAAGTACTTTTGTGGGGAGATACTTTGAGACTATCCTGTCTTTATCAAAATTCTATTCATTGGGACTTCCCTGGTGGTGCAGTGGTTAAGAGTCCGCCTGCCAATGCAGGGGACGCGGGTTTGAGCCCTGGTCGGGGAAGATCCCACATGCCGTGGAGCAACTAAGCCCGTGCGCCACAACTACTGAGCCTACGTGCCACAACTACTGAAGCCCGCGCACCTAGAGCCCGTGCTGCACAACAAGAGAAGCCACCGCAATGAGAAGCCCATGCACTGCAACAAAGAGTAGCTCCCACTTGCCACAACTAGAGAAAGCCCGAGTGCAGCAACGAAGACCCAGCGCAGCCAAAAATAAATAAAAATAAATATTAAAAAAATTATATTCACAGGGTTTAGACTGTACAGATGATTCTTCCCTGAATCAATTATTATATACTGGCTGCTTCCCCCAGCCCCTGCCAACTTCCATCATTCCCTTCTTATTTGTTGGCATTCTCCTGTACGAAGAGTTTCACCTTCTCCCCACTTATTTATGATTTTATCAATTTGGACTCGGATATCTTTATTCTATCCAATGGGTTATAATCCAACCCTGTCTTTCTTATCATGCTCACATTGGCCCCATAGTTTTTATTTTAAAGATGACTTCTTTGGGGTGATGGGCAGGAATGGGATGGTGTCATGTGCACTTGGTTCCTTATTGCCTAAGAAAGAAGTCATTTAATACCTTCTTTTCCTTTTCCTGGGGGCAGTTATCAATCCACCTCCTGTGGCCGGGACAGTTACCTTCAATTCAAACTCAGCTTCCCTTGAGCAACAGAATGGAGGGAGCAACAGTCCTTCCTGTAAAGGTGCTTCGGGGCTTGAGGCAAACCCAGGTAAGCTCTTTGAGGGCATCATAGAGGACTACGATTTGCCCTAGAAGCTTTATTATCTGAGGAGTGCCAAAGGTAGACTTCGAACAGATTGTACATGTCCAGGATCTCAATGGTTGGAACTCAATTTGAGCTGTATTGGTTAGTTATTGCTGTGTAACAAACCCACTCAAAATTCAGAGTCTTAAAACTGTAATCTTTTATTATCATAGCTCACTCATCTTGTGTGTTGCCTGGGAGGTGGCTAATCCCAACTAGTCTCCTTCAGGCTGGGCTTGCATATTTCTCATCCTCCTTCTAGGACCATTGGGTTTCTTCACCTTCCCTTGGGGCAGAATATGTCCCTATTATGGTGGCAGAAGCAGCAGAAAGCAAGAAGAAATACACTTTCTTGAAGCCTAAGCTCGGAACTGGTACCCCATCACACCTGCCTCATTTTGTCATCTAAAGCTAATCACATGGTCAAACTCAAGAGTAAAGGGGTGGGGAAATGTACCCTACTCCTTTTATAGGAAGAACTGCAAAATCACATGGCAGAGCATGGATACAGGAGGGGAAAGAATTTGGCCTTGAATGTAATCTGCCGTGTGGGCAAAAACATCTCTTAATCCTAAAGGCATTTCACAGTTACAGGATGTTTTGAAGGTTGCATTTCTGTCCACAGGCTTGACCTCAGACAAATCTTGGGCATGACCAAAGTTTGACATTAAAGAAATGACATAAAAGGGGGAGAGAAGAGGATTTTGAATGAAGTACTAAGCATTTAGCATTGGTGCCACCACTGTCTCTCCCACGTCCAAGGGAGACATCACTAATTAATCTGGAAACTCTTTGCCAGTGAACTTGGATGCAGCCTAAGATGCTTTCTTATCACATCACTATTAGCAATCTGTCAAGTTTGGGGCATATTGGGTATAAGCCTCAACTCCAAAATAAATAGTTCACAGTGTTAATCTTGGGGAATCTTGGAATTTGAAGGCTTCTTGGTCAAATGACTGAAAATATTCTCACTCACCTCCAATCACAACAAGTAAAAAGTTATGAAAACAAGAACTCAACCAAAACTGTTTAGTAAGTAACGTATAATATTTGGAGAAGCATCTTGTGTAGACGAGATACTTGACATTGCTGTGCTTCTTTTTAGCTAAAGTTGATGGGAATGCTCTATGGAACATGCTTAGTGGGATTCCTACCTGAGGAATAAATTAGATTTGAACATCTAAAAATTAAAAAAATTTTAATTGTAAAAATGAATGCATTATGACAGAAGGAAAAAAAAGAAAGAAAGAAAAACCAAACATGATAATAGAAGGGACAGAAAGCCACCATGTAATCTAAGGAGGAAGGTGGGAGAGAGTTCTCCTTGCCTTCACCTGGCCTTTCCCAGCATGTAACATATTGAGAGTATACCTACTTCAAAGGCCAGTGGCCCTACTCACTTTGTGAGGCATCATTTTAAGGCAAAAAAGCATTGTGAGAGATAGTGAGGGTCATTTTGTGATTAAAAAAATTAAATTCACCGGGAAAATAAAACAGTTCATGGGCTTCCCTGGTGGCACGGTGGTTGAGAGTCCGCCTGCCGATGCAGGGGACACGGGTTCGTGCCCCGGTCCGGGAAGATCCCACATGCCACGGAGCGGCTGGGCCCGTGAGCCATGGCCGCTGAGCCTGCGCTCTAGAGCCTGTGCTCCGCGACGGGAGAGGCCACAACAGTGAGAGGCCCGCGTACCGCAAAAATAAAACAACAACAACAACAAAAACCAAAACAATTCATGAGTATATTTCAAATATATAGACATATATACATGACATGCATATGACCACGTATATCTATACATACATACATGCAAACATATATGAAGAGGGAGAATTAACAGAACTGCAAAGAGAAATAATCACTTCAAACCAACCAACAGTTGAAGTCTGGAAGAAACATCTCTGATTCATTCATAGATCAAGCAGACAAAACTGTCAGTAAGGACAGAAGCCCTGCAAACACGATCAACAAGATTAATCTAACATATGTGTAGAGAGCACTCAAAATCGGAAAAAGGCACATTCTTTCCAAGAAGACACTTAATTTACAAATAATTGGTCAAGTCTTCGTCCATAAAGCAAGTTTTGAAAAATTTTGACCTTTGGTATCATATGGACCATGTTCTCTGACCACAAAGTGATAACTAGACTCACCCCTTAATATGCAAATGAAGAGACACATGCTTTAATAACTCATATATCAAGTTAAAAAATTACCATGGAAAATAGAAACTATTTAGAATAGATCTACGGTTGGCAGTTACTGTGAGACCTCCTCCCTTCTCTCTCCTGCCTTCCACTGTGCCCCTCCCCTGGTACATGGAGGGTTGACGTCCACACCTGTCAGTGTTATTAGAAAATTAGTTGGATTGGTTGGCATGTGCTTTGTGGTCAAAATAACCCATCGTTTACCCTTTTATTTTGATTTTCAAGGAGAAAAGAGGAAAATGAACGACTCTCATGTTTTGGAGGAGGCCAAGAAACCCCGAGTGATGGGCGATATTCCACTGGAATTAATCCACGAGGTCATGTCCACCATCACGGACCCTGCAGCGATGCTCGGGCCAGAGGTCAGCAGGGTGAACCTAGGCAGCCAGCTGGTGGACCCCTTCTACTCTCCGGGCCACTCCAGCTGTTGGGAATGGGGATGGTATTGCCAAGAGAGAGCATGTCACACTACCCTGGTTTGCATTTTGCCTGGTGGTCCGGGTTGGAAAGGCAAGAAAAGCTGATGGAGAGCTGATTCCCCTTGATGACTGTCAGATCACGGGGAAACACAATCTCACGCAGCTGAAGGCATTTCTCCTTCAACTTTTTATCTTGAAAAATTTAAACCCTCATAAATGTTGCAAAAAACTCCATGATAAAGATCCAGAGACTCTTTATTTAGATTCACCAATTGTTAACATGCCTCATTTACTTTCCCTCTGTCGCGCTCACTCTCCTGTGAAGCATTAGGAACCATTTCAGAATTCAATACAGATGTCATAACACTTCACCCCTAACTGTATTTGCATGTGTCTCCTAAGACTGAGACTGTTCATTCACATTACCTCAATGCAGTTATCACCTCCAGCAAATTTAGCCAGGTTACAGTATTATCTAATGTATGGGTTGGCAGTCTACAGCCTGCGGGCCAAATCCAACCCACTTGCTGATGTGTAAATAAAGTTTAATTGAAGTGTATTGTCTGTGTCTGCTTTGCACTACAAAAGCAGATCTGAATTATTAAGATAGGGGAAGACTGACTGCAAAGCCTAAGATAGTTGTCCTCTGGCCCTTTATAGAAAAGTTTGCTTAGACAAAGTTATATTAGACCGTTGGCCTAATGTACAGCCCATATCCAAATTTCCCGTATATCCAAATTCTGTCCATTATAACACTTGCTGCTGTTGTTGGAAGATCAGTCAGGGATCACGCACTACATTTAGTTCTTATCTCTTCACCTCTTTTTTTTTTTTTTTTTTTTTTGGTCACGCTGTGTGGCTTCCGGGATCTTAGTTCCCTGACCAGGGATTGAACCTGTGCCCCCGGCAGTGGAAGCATGGAGTCTTAACCACCGGACCACCAGGGACTTCCCCTCTTCACCTCTTTAGTCTCCTTTATTCTAGAACAGTTCCCCAGCCCTCTTTTGGTCTTTTGTGGCAGCACTGTTGTTGCAGAGTCCTGGTCACTGGTTTTGCATAATGTCCCTCTACCTGGATTTGTCTGTTTACCCATGATTAGATTCAAGTAAAGCAATTCTGGTAAAAGTACTGCTGTCAGTCTCATTGTGTCCTCTCCAGGGGCAAAGCAGTTTAAGACGTTTCTGACAGCTTCCAGAAAATGAAGCAATGGCTCGGAGATTATTTTGCAAAACCTCTTTAAACATTTTTTTACTATGGCTCTGCTAGATCAAAATATCCATTTTTAATGTGTCATGTTTCCTTAGAGGTTTATTTCATGGTAGTGAGATAATTCAGAGAACCAGAATGTTGTTAAGAGAGAGATCTTCTTATAAAATTGTTCTTTCCATTTCCTTCTAGATATCCAGACCTGGGGACTTATGACTGTAGTACCTTTTGTGTACTTGTCTCCTGGGGATTTAGTAACGTCACGGATTAGTTTAGCTCAGTTTTTCCAACTATAAAATGTGGATGTAGTCACACATTTCAGGATGTGTTGGGTGGCTTTAGTAGTGTCCTGGAGTTGACTTGTACTGGCGTGCGCAAGGCAACTGTTACATTTTCAGGAATTTTGTGTACTGGTTGTTAAATATGTTGGTAGCTTGAAACTGACCGCAGTGGCCTCTGGGCCCCGGGGCAACGCCATAGACCAGTGAAATGAGCATGTGCCGCCAATGGGCTTTTCTCCCTTGGGGAGCTGTTGTTTGAACGCTGACCTGCACCCCACTTAGTGCTGGCACAAGGTTGTGCTGTGAGCTGTGGTTGAGCGTGGTCAACGGAGACTCCCGTGCAAAGAAAACCATCTTCCAAGAAGAGGTGCTGACAGTATAAATAAGACTGCCGCTATTGGGCCTGTACTGGGATCTGTCATCCCGAGGGTGCTATAACGCTCAGCCAGATGGAGTTCCTAAAAACCAGGGGCCGGCAAACTGTAGCCCTCAGGCCAGATCCAGTCTGCCTTCCCCGCTTTTAAGTAAAGTTTTATTGGAATTCTGCTTCACCCAGTCGTTTATGTGTTGTCTGCGGCAGCTTTCGCCCTACAACAGTGTTGGCCAGTTGCCACAGAGGCCTTATGACTTGCAGATCTAAAATATGAGCTCCCTGGCCCTTTACAGAAGGTTTGGGGGCTCCTGATCTACACCAAACCTCCGTGTACACGTAGAATACTCTGGTCCCTCCAGATGCTCTGCCTACCTATTTTGTTTTCATAACTTGTGTGTGTTGGTTGGGACCCTGAAAATCCACAAATGTGCGTCTTATGAGAACACAGAAGAGAGGCATTGCTATGTCCTATCCCTCCTGTCTTAAGAGAAGAGCTCTCTGTGTAATGTTTTCCTGTCTCCTGCGTCCCAGACCAATTTTCTGTCAGCACACTCAGCCAGAGACGAAGCGGCAAGGCTGGAGGAGCGCAGGGGCGTGATTGAATTTCACGTAGTGGGCAATTCCCTGAACCAGAAGCCCAACAAGAAGATACTGATTTGGCTGGTGGGGCTGCAGAATGTGTTTTCCCATCAGCTGCCCCGGATGCCAAAGGAGTACATCACACGGCTTGTCTTTGACCCGTAAGTTGTGCTCTGCTCTTTCTTCTCCCTTTTTTCCCTCTTCTTTCTTTCTTTTTTTTAAAATTTTTTGGCCACGCCACATGGCACATGCGATCTTCGTTCCCCGACCAGGGACTGAACCTGTGCCCCTTGCAGTGGAAGCGCCGAGTCTGAACCACTGGATCACCAGGGATCACCTGTCCCCTTTTTTCCCTTTTAAATGAAAGAGGAACTACTCAGATAGCCGTAGTCACCCACTGAGTCCTGTTGCCTCTCGTCACACTGTGGATACAGAGTGGCATCACGATAATTGCCATGGCTAAAGGCATTAAGATTAATTTTTCAACAGTTTGTCAGTTTTTTGTTAATGAGGCTTTATATTTTAAGTTGCTGGTGACCATCCTGTGCGTCATTCATTATAGCAATGAAGGAATATATAAACGCTAAGAAGGCGTCCCATTTTTTTCACAGTCAGAATATTCTTGATTTTGGTATCTTAACTAGATACCATTGTTGCCAGGGTCTGTAAGCCCTGAGAAGATTACTGGGGTATTAGGTTAACTTTGACAATCCATTACATTAAAAAAAAAAAAAGCAAAAAACAAAAAAGTAAACTTCCCTACTTGAATGTATTTTAACACGTGGAACCCAGTAGCCTATATGCATTGTGATCCATGCATGGGACTATTCAGAGTGACGTTCTAGACAGAAGGCCTGATAGGATTCTGGAATGCAGGTTTTAGCAAATTGTACCTGTGGATTTGGTTTTCTTTTCCACGTTGTTTCCGTGCTGTTTTTGAGTGAGACTGAACTCTTCAGAAACACATACCATGTTTGTCCCTGCCTTTGTGTTCTCCCTCTGGACTCCCACTGTGGGTCCGTGGGCATCAGGGGTGGCCCTGTTGCAGCACCAGTCAGCACCTCCCCACACGCTCTGTTCTTTTTTTTTTTTTTTTTTTTGTGGTACGCGGGCCTCTCACTGTTGTGGCCTCTCCTGTTGCGGAGCACAGGCTCCGGACGCACAGCCTCAGCGGCCATGGCTCACGGGCCCAGCTGCTCCGTGGCATGTGGGATCTTCCCGGACCAGGGCACGAACCCGTGTCCCCTGCATCTGCAGGCGGACTCCCAACCACTGCGCCACCAGGGAAGCCCCGCTGTGTTCTTTATTTGTAACCTCAGAGCCTCCTTAGGTGGCTGGCCTTTGTCCCCACGGAAGCTCTGGTGCCATCTCCGGCAGGCAAGCTTGCTCTAAAAGTCCACAGTAAAGAATGGTCTGGCGAGATGGAGGAGGTTTCCGTGGAAAAATCAAGAAGAAGCAACCCCCTGCTTTTCCTGGCTGGTTCATGAGGAAAACCCCAAACAGTACATTTGTATAACTAAGAGAAGTAAAACTTTGACATAATCTTATTCTTTCAGGAAACACAAAACCCTTGCTTTAATTAAAGACGGCCGTGTTATTGGTGGTATCTGTTTCCGAATGTTCCCATCCCAAGGATTCACAGAGATTGTTTTCTGCGCTGTAACCTCCAATGAGCAAGTCAAGGTAAGCGTGACCCAGGAGCATCCTCTCCGTGTGTGTGTGTGTGTGTGTGTGTAGCGTACACGCTTCCTTGTATCCGCAGTCAGGCTCTACCGGGTTTTGTTGGACCTGGGCGCAGGGTCTGGGGACACCACACAGCCCCTGGTGCAACTCAGGCAAAGTTTACAGCAAGTGAAGAGATGTTTGAAAACACGTCTCAGTGTTACTGATCATTTCCACGTGCAGACGTGTCTACACACACCTGGGGACAGTGCCCCACCAGAAGGGGTGTGGTGTGATGTGGATTAGGGAGATGATTTAGGTGACTCACACCTCAGAAAGATTTCTTATGACCTTATGCCTAATGGGGGACAAGGACTAAAGAAATTCTGTCGGGGAAGTCATGACATTTGAATAACTTTATTACTGAGTTTCAGAAATATTCATGCAGGTTTGGAATGTGGGTCTTTCTGGAGTGTGTGTGTGTGTGTGTGTGTGTGTGTGTGTGTGTGTGTGTGTATGTATGTGTGTGTAGCTGATTTGCCTTCCCGATTGTACTTGGCATGGGTCCCTTCCTCCCCAGGAGCCAGACTGTCTTATTGATAGTGTGCTTGGCATTGCAGTCTGCCTGGAATAAATCAGATTCTCAATTGTCAGAAAGATTTAGATTGTGTTGTGTCGTCCTCTGCTGCTTTTGTGAAAGTGGAACCAGAAATGTGTCTTCAGGCTATAATTCATTTGGTACTTTGGGAGCCCTAAAATCACGCAAAAATACGGCAATTGGTGGAAAGATAAGTAGCTCAGGATTTGACGGCCGCTGAGAAACATTATTGGCAGGTCTAAGGCAACGTTGTCCAGTGATATATAATGCAATGGGCAAATGTGAACCATGTATGTGATTTTGAATTTTCTAGTAGCTACATTAAAAGAAAAAAAGAAAATAGGCAAAAATAATTCTAAAAAATTGTACTTCATTTTACTCAGTATATCCAAAGTGTTGTCATTGCGACAGGTACTCAGCCTCCAAGAATTATTGAGACATTTTACATTCTTTGATTGGTACTAAGTCTCAGAAATCAAGAGTGTATTCCGCACTCACACCTGTGTCAGTTTGGACTGGCCACGTTTCAGGTGCTCACTGGGCTTGGACAGTGTGGGCCTAAGGGCATTGTTGCCTTCTTCAGCTACAGTGAAGCAATGCCAGTTACAGAAACCAAAAATGGATCTCGGGAAGGAATCATGAGCTGCCTGCCGGCTGAAACCAGGGCCATGGGTGCTTTTGGCTTCATTAACAGCTCTCCTCTGTGTAATGGTCACGGTGCCAATTAACAGCTGCTGTGGTTTCCTCTCACAAAGCACAAATGGGGCTTTTTGTCTTTGACTCACAGCACTCAGCATCCAAGGACAGACAAAATTCATCAGTATCAAATTCATCATTCTGACCGGAGAAGGTGAGGGCCCACATCTACCTGAAACCGATCTCTGGCTCTTTTTCAAGGAACTCTGACTCTATATCTTTAGATGGTACTGTTGCTGTGCTTATCACAGGTTTATTTCCCCCTAGCCAAAGTGAGAAACAGTAAGTGTCCGGAATTTAGGAACTTACTTAAAAGAAAAATTTGGTTTGGCTTTTCATAGGGAGAGGAGCTGGAAAATATGTCCTTGGTTTATAATTTCAGAAGATTGCCTAATTTTTGTTTGCAAAGAAAGCTACACCAAGCAGCTTGTTTGGAAAGGTTGGTTAAGGTTGCCTTGGACACTTTTAGGATACCAGAGGGAAACTAAAGCTGTTTAATATGAATTGGATGCTTTGTCTTATTACTTCCCAGAAGGGCAGTGTATATTTTTTCCCCCAAACCATGTAATTTTCTAAAGACTTGAAGGAAGGTGGCCAAACATTACAAACTGAGTAGGGAAAACTACAAGAAAAGCCACCTTTTGTAAGTGACTTAACTGGTTTTAGAAAATGAAGATTAATCTTTCAAAACTGGATAGAATGGATGCATGTGATGGAAGTCAATTCTGGTAGCACTTATTTGTGAAAACAGAAAGTTCGTAAGTGGAGGTTTACAATTTTGATTTGAGATATTAAAAATCTTGGCTAAATGATACGTTAAAATTCGCACGTACTCATTTTGGAGACTGAGCTTATATACAAATTCCTGTGAATGCTTTAAATAAGATTTGTATGTGAATTTATCTTGCTCAAAACACATGCAAGATAACATTTGAGAATTTACTTAAAGCTCCTCACCTGGTTTTGGAATAGCTTATCTAAGAACTATTTGGGTGTGACATTATATGCAACTTTAAAGTTACATGGCTAATACTTAATTTACCATAGTAAGTATTTAAATAAACACTGAAGTTACCAGGTGGATTTGGAAAGGAATCCTTTTGGTGATAGTTGAAAATAAAGGCATACAAAGGAGGGAAATAGTTCTGGGGTGAAAAATCTAAACATTTGCATATAATAGCTTAACACTGTTAGTGCCTCTTTAACCAAGGAAGTACACAGAGAGGATTCAAGTTAAAAGGCACAGTCCCTACTCACAAGCCGTTGGAATCTGGAAAATTTCTTTGGAGAAATGACAGATTAGTGGCTGTTGATGAAGAATACCTTATGCAGGTTTTGAGAAGCTATTTACAAAAGAACCATTATTTTTCTGCTTGAGTAAAATCCTTGGATTGTGGGTGAAGGGGAGAAAATGTATAGTTCTATTAGCTGCTTACAAGATGGTGTATACAGTGAAAGCCTAACTCTCTTCCATCAACCACATCTAGGTTAAACTCACTTCTAGGTTAAAGTGAGTTTCATCAGAGGACACATTTCTTACTGAATCCTAGATATTACTATTCTTGTGCACATGCAGTAGCCAACCCTTCCCTTTTCTCCAGTTTTTTTCCCCCCACTTTTCTTTAAAAATTATATTTAATTACCTAGGTCACGCACAGATACATTTTCAGAGAAAGCAAAAATCCCATGCCCCCTTCCCCCTGCTGTCCAGTCATTGTCAGCCTGGTGTGCATCCTTCTAGTTGCTTCTCTATATTATGTACATGGACATGTACCTGTCTGTGTGGTGTGTTGTTGTTTACATAACTAGAATTCATACTGTACATAATTGAAAAAAAACCTTTCCATTATATCTTAGGGATCTTTCAACTTTAGTACATAAACGTGGTTATTTAAATGTATATTTAGATCAATTAAAATTAAATAAAATTTAAAATTCAGTTCCTTAGTCACTCAAGTCCTCGGTAGCTGCATGTGACTAATGGCTACCATATTGGATAGCACAGATGAAGAATATCTCCATCGTTGCAGAAATCCCTATTGGACAATGCTAATAGGGAACTACTTTATTCTTTTTATATAGATTTGCCTAATGTAGACAGACCATAATTTATGTAACTGTTCCCTATAGAAGACATTCATATTTATTTCCAGTTATTTTCTATCACTAACAGTGCTCTGTTTGGAAATGATTTCTGGACACTGAAAAGTGGCATCGCTGTAGGAATGGCTATGGCCAGAGTCTCAATTTAAAAACTTACTTCCAGATCACCCTTCTCAGTGGGTTTACCAATTTACACTTTCACCAGTGGTGCTGGAGAGTGCCATTTCCCTGGGTATTGTCAACCTTAAAGAAATTTGCACATTGCTGAGTGAAATATTGCATCTCGTGACGGAGTGCTCTGATTACTATTGGGATCAAACATCTTTTTTTTTTAATTTCTTGGTTATATTTATTGCTTGTTCCTTTGATGATTTATCTTTTTTTGTATTGATCCTATTGAAGGTATTATTTATGCATTCTTGATGTTAATTTTTTATAATATCTTGTATATCTATACCGTCCCATTTTGTCATTTTGTTTATGGTATCTTAAATTGCTTATGAAATCTGTAAAAGAAGTTTTAAACTTTGAAGTAGTCTACTTAATAATCAGTCTTTTGTGCTTTCGCATTTTATATTTTCTTTAGGAAGCCTTTCTATATCCCTAGGTTATAAACCCACTTTCCTGTATCTTTTTATAATACTTTTGTATAGGTTTATTTTTCCTTACATTTAGATTTCCAGTCCGTCTTCTTACCAGTTGACAAAACTTCTTTAAGGCTTAGCTTACACATCTTCTTTTCCTTCTCCCTCTTAATTATCTTATAGCCTTTTTCTCTATTATAGGTACAAGTACATCACTCTGTACCAGTGCTGTGCAATAAAAATACATCTGTGAGCCTCAAATGCAAGCCACATGTGTAATTTAAAAATCTCCAATAGTCGTATTAAAAAAAAAGTAAAACGAAACAGGTGAAATTAATTTTGATATTTTCTATTTAACCTAGTGTGTCCAAAATACTGCCATTTCAACATGTAATAAGTTTAAAAGTCATTAATGAGAGTTTTTTCCCCTGGTGTGTATTTTACGCTTGTATGTCTCATTTGGACTTGTCACACTTTCATCGCTCAAAAGCTACACATGGCTAGTGGCTACCATATTAAACAGCCAGTTGTATATGTAATTATGAGTTCTATATGTCTATCTTCCCCATTTTACTATCTTCTCAAGAAGAGAGAGATTTCATTCGTCTTTTTATCCGAGTTTTATTCAAACTCACAGTGTGTCAGTGTTGTGATATGTTTGGGAAAAGCTAACATGTCCATGGGTAATATCAATGGAAGAATAATTTCCAGAATAGGGAGATGGTAATACACTTCTCCTATGTACTGGGCAGACTGTCCCCTGAATATTATTATGCTTGGTCTTGGGATCCATGCTTTAGAAGGGTATTGTTATACAGCTGCGGTCCCCAACCTTTTTGGCACCAGGGGCCAGTTTCGTGGAAGACAAGTTTTCCACGGACCGTGGGAGGGGTGGGGGGAATGTTCAGGCGGTAATGCGAGTGATGGGGAGTGATGGGGTGCGGCAGATGAAGCTTCGCTTTCTCGCCCGCTGCTCACCTCCTGCCGTGCGGCCCTGAAAAGTGTGACTAGATTGAGAAAGGGTCTTCCGATCATGCCGTATGAAGAACAACTGAAGCTTGGCTTCGTACCTGGGAGGTAGGAATGGGCGTGGGTGAGGGAGGATAATTTTCAAGGGTTTGGAGAGTTGTTAAAAGCAGGGACCAGTCTTTGTTATTCTAGGAGTAGAACTAAGGTCAATAGGTAGAAGGAACAAGGGGTCAGATTCTCAGGTGAACATAGGAAGAACTTCCCAACCATAACAGTGGCTGAAAATTAATTGGTCTAAGGACTGAGCGAGCACCCTAAACTGGAGGTGTTCTAGCAGCTCACGTTTCCAAGGTAGATGGCAGGAGACTTCTAGTGTCACATGGGATAGAATTAGACCAGATGACTTCCAAAGATCCTTCTCCCCTGTGGGCCTGTAGTTCCACGATAACATACCTATGAGCGTGTTTGAGTTCTTTAGAAAAGTGTGTCACCAAATTCTAAAATATTGATGTGAAGATATTTGTATGTGGATGCTTGGGTTTACCTTCATCTTCTTTTTATGAGATTCTAAAACCATCCCTTTAAATGTATAGATTTTTCTTCAAGCATTGTACATCACCAAAAAATCTGGTACTTACTTTTTTTTTTCATATTTCAATCATTAACTTATTTAACATTGTTCACTATTTTTAGTTACTTCCTAATGTCTTCTGGCTCACTCAGAGGTTCGGGGCTTCTCAGACTGCTTGGAAAGGTCTGATAAGAACAAGTTGAAAACCCTATGTACGTGATGATACAGTTCTTTGGAAGGACTGCTGATTTGTTGTATGCAGGAAACACCTGGATTAGTTAATATTCTAGTAGAGATCAGCCTTTCTCATTTACATTGCTCTTTTCATCTCAGGTTCTCAAATACTTTAAACATAAGCAGAAATTCATAATCAGTATTTATTCCAAAAACCTCTTTATTAATATTCAATGTGTAATCTCTAGGACTGAATGAGAAGCTTGTAGCCTTGGTGTGTTCTTTTTGAAGAGCCAGAAACTTGTATTTTCAAAAGATGATTGTATCTCCATTCAGGGATTTTGAATTTGTTTGGTTTTACAGCTCATTTTCAAAGTTCAGAAATGCAAGAAGGGTGTTGGTGTTATACTGGCAATACATACTCCTAAATTTGCCAACATTTCCCAGTGAAAATATGGGACTTTCTTTTCTCCAGAACCTAATATATTTGTCTGCATACTGACTTGCCCACAGGGCTATGGAACACACCTGATGAACCATTTGAAGGAATATCACATAAAACATGACATCCTGAACTTTCTCACCTATGCAGATGAATATGCAATTGGATATTTCAAGAAGCAGGTGGGTTTTTTCACGTGCAACCCTGTTCTGTCGTTCCTTTTCTTAATATGCACTCAGGTAGCTTTCATGCAAATAAGCACCCACCCTCCGCCCCCCACTGTTTTCTGCTTATAAGAGGGGCATCCATTTATTTTGCAAGCCTTAAGCCAGAGGTGAGCTTCAGTCTGGACTAGAGGGTATGACCAACACATTGTAAGTACTAAATAAATGTTGAGTGAATGAATGAACGTCATCTATAATGTGCTATCCCCAGGCTGAGGAGAAATTCCCATTGCTGGGGGACTAGAGTTCTCCATGAATGAGAGAAACAGATTCAGTCTCTGGCAGACCTTCATTTATGACAGCAGAGAGGAAATTATGATGTTTACAAGGGGTTCCAGACCATCCTGGTCCAACAGCACACAGGCGGCTGGGAGCTTGGCTGCTTCTTAGTTCTTTCTGTCAGAAGTTTCCATCTCAGCACTCTGAGGATTATACTTTGCTACATATTTTTTAATAGTGCTCTGTAATTCTAAATTCCTAAACATTTTCCATTTACTTTTCTGATGACAAAAGTAATGTATAGTTACTGTAGAAATTTTGGAAAATGAAATGAAGCACAAAGAAAAGAAGAAAAACTGCTTGTAATTCTACCACCCAGAGAAATTTACTGTTAACATTTTGACAGATACTCTTCTAGTATTTTTTCTCTGTGTGTGTTTGTCTGTATATAAATACAAAAATTGGCTCATTATTGCATGTAATGTAATCACTTACGTGTTTAACTTAATACAGTCTGACTTTTCAAATATGATTTTTGATGCTTCTCTGAAATTTTGTTGTATAAATGGAGAATAATTTATTAAACCAATACCACATTTGGGGGACATTTAGGTATTTTTATAAGTAAGTGTCCATGTGTGAATGTGCGCTTCCAGAAGTATTTAAGGTTTTGTTATGCACTGCCAAATAATTTCTCCTCTTGTCAGCAATGTATAAGGGAGCCCAGGAAACAAGTTCATAATTGAAAAAAATATATATTTTTTTACCGCTTTCCTAGGTGACAAATTGTGCATGTTTGCATTTATTTGATTATTGTGAAGTTTGACTTGTTTTTCCTTGTTCATTGCCCCTTTGTATGTCTTCTTATTTTGAATTGCCAATTCATTGCATTTTGCCTCTTCTTCTATTAAAATATTTATTTTCATATTGATCTATGAGAACTCAGATATATAAAGATAGTAACCTTTTATTTTATGATTTTTCTCCCGTTTGTCATTTGTTTTTCCACATTGCTTATGGATTTTTTTTAATGTACAGAATTTAAAAGATTTTATTACATACAATCTATTAACCTCTTTTTAAAATACAAGTCCTTATATGATTAGAAAGCTTTCACTCCTCTGATGGCAGATAAGTAACCTCCTATTTATTTTCTCCTCATTCTTTAGGATGCCTTTGTGACTTTTGTAATAAAACTCACTAGAGAGAACTCAATGGGTTTGTTTTACTGGGGGCTTGAGTGTCAGCTTTCCTAGGCAGTAACAACGTTGTAGAGAAGAAATCTCAGGCATGCTTCTTAAATGACTTGTCTGTGGTCCTCTTTGAGGCTGATGTCAATAATTGCTTGGAAAATAAGTTTTTGCTAAAAGAGGAGGCAGGAAATTTAAAGTCCAAGTAATTTTCTGCAAAAATTTGAAATAGGCACCATAAAGACAGTCGTTATAGATATATGACTATATGCCCTGTCTAACTATATTATTACAGCTTAAAGTATGTAAATTAATATACTGCAAAGCGTTAATATCACTGAAACAACCACTGTCGTGATGGTCTGGAAGTTTTTCTGTTTTTTAATAAATTTATTTATTTTATTTTATTTTTGGCTACGTTGGGTCTTCGTTGCTGCGCGTGGGCTTTTTCTAGCTGGGGGGAGCGGGGCTACTCTTCGTTGCGGTACGCGGGCTTCTCATTGCGGTGGCTTTTCTTGTTGCAGAGCACGGGCTCTAGTCACGTGGGCTCAGTAGTTGTGGCTCGCAAGCTCTAGAACGCAGGCTCAGTAGTTGTGGCGCACGGGCTTAGTTGTTCCGTGGCATGTGGGATCTTCCTGGACCAGGGCTCGAACCCGTGTCCCTTGCATCGGCAGGCAGATTCTTAACCACTGCGCCACCAGGGAAGCCCGTCTGGAATTTTTTTGCCTGTCAAGTAGGTGTTTCATTTCCTCAACATCAAGGTTCTTATTGCTATATTTTTGGACAAATTTTGCTTTCAGAATTTAGATCAATGTTAGTTATTGATTTGTGGAGCATCCTAGAGGCCCCCTGTCTACTTTGGGAGAAATTGTGCGGTTTAATGCAAAATTAAACCTTATTTTTACTTAGTAGCCATTTTTGTTAAAGACTTTTTAATATTATTTGTGTTTTACTAGGTTTATTTTTTATGTTGAATTGCTTCCTATTTGCACAGTTGATTTTTGATGTTTCTGAACTTCTTGGAAGGGTTTCATGCTAATTCTCCCCAGGATAATAGGATGAGAGCTTGGACCTGTGCTGGGCACCAAGACAGGCCTAGCACATAGTTTGCACTCAGAGAGGATGTTTGATGCACAGGCCTCTGTATAAATGAAATTATTGACTTTGCAGGGTTTCTCCAAAGAAATTAAAATCCCTAAAACCAAATACGTTGGCTACATCAAGGATTATGAGGGAGCCACTTTAATGGGATGTGAGCTAAATCCACAGATCCCATACACGGAATTTTCTGTCATCATTAAGAAGCAGAAGGAGGTAAGTACGTGACTGACTCGGGGGAACCCGACTGGTCTGCGCAGACCAGTCTCTTCTGGGGTGAAGTGTGCATCACTGGGCTCTGTGGGTGTGGGTCTGCCGGGTACCATAACCTCGGTTTGCTCTGTTTTGTCTAGGTTTCTTCTTTGAAGGTATCCTTTATCTTCTCTCTAAATCACCACTTCTAAGGGGGTCAGTACCTGTTAAATTGGTGTAAAATACAGAACTTGTAAAATATGATAGTAAATCTTAATTTCACCTTCAAGGCCTCTTACATGCTGGCCTCATGCATCCTTCTCAAACCCACCTCTTTATTTCCCTTTGTAAACTAATCTCCAAAGGCTGTTACTGATGCTTTAACCCTCTTGCTTGGTATCTTCATCCTTTACCCACTTCCTCTCCCAATGCATGTACACACACACACACACACACACACACACACACACACACACACAGACACAGATGGGACCACTTCCGCCTGTTTTCCATTCCTCTTCGGACTTCTTGAGTACTAGTTTGATCCACTCATTTGAATTTCAGTTAGTCGTTACCTTCCATGTTTATCTTAGTTTGTATTCACCTCTCCTTCTGCATTGCACGTTCTGAAGGCTTATACTTCCAAATAGTAAGTGATTTGTTATCTGGAGAGGACTCTTTTTTTTTTTTTTGGCCGCACTGCATGACATGCGGGATCTTAGTTCCCTGACTAGGGATCGAACCCACGCCCCCTGCAGTAGAAGCGCAGAATCTTAACTACTGGACTGCCAAGGGAAGTACCAAGTGATTTGGTATCTGATGCTGGGGTGAAGTCTTTTATGCATATGAACTAAAAGAGAAGCAGTAAAGGGAAACGTTGATAGATTTGACTACATAGTAATTTTTACATTTCTCTAAGTCAGGGAAAAGAAACATACGGAGATCATAATTAGGGGAGTGTAACAGAAGCCGTTTATTAAGTGAATGAACTTTATGTGTTAAGCCCAGGATTATCCCCTTGGTCCCCCTAGTTCTTGGAGTTCAAAAACTGGGAATTTGCACCTGGGTCACCCCATATCAGTCCCACTTGATACTTCAGTTATTCATTCGAGTGTACTTTTCTCTAGCGAGTAACAAAAAAGACCTCTGCCTTAAACCTGTCTTTGTTTTCTGGTTTCTGCTCATTTCCTTGATCCCAGTTCTTAGTTACTTGTCAGATGTCACTGACATAACAGATGTAAAGCTCCTTACGCAGTGTCTGGTGTATAGTAGGTGCTCAGTAAGTATTTTCCTTTTACTTGAAGTAGCTCAGAGTTGTTCTTATGCTTCCCGTGGAAGTGAGCAAAAGGCTTTTATTAAATTAGAAAATAAAAACAACCTCTGTTGTTTCTTGGTCAGAGACGTCAGCCTAAGACAGAATTCCACATAGGGTGCTTGGAGAGTTAATACAAGCACAGCAGGCTCCCCTCCCTGTTCTCCGCTGGGCTTAATGAGCAGGTCTGAATTCGCAGCCCGTTGTGCAGAGCTATTTTAGATGGCAGCAAAGCCTCAGGTTTTGAGAAGACAGCGCCCCATCCCCTTCCCCTTTCTCTCCCCTTGGATTCCTCCCCCGCCACCTCCCTCTCAGCCTCCAGCCTTCCCTAATAGGCGCACCACTGAATGCATGAGAGATCGGAGGTCGCCCTAAGAAGGTGTTTGGATTCACGTAATATCTTCTTCCACAGAATTCAAGTGATTTTTACAAGTGTCATTTATTCCAGCTCTGGAAACCCCCTTGGGGAAGGTAGGGACGAATAGTGGGAAGGAACAAATTGTAGGGAGATGGAGGGTCTTCCCCGCCGTGGAAGCGTACAGAGCAGTCACTTGTGGTTGTGGTTAGCAGGGGTGGAGAGAGAACCAGTGCAGTTGCACAGGTGGAGCGGTGGGTGGGAGCTGAGTGCTGTGGGAGTGAGGACTCCAAGGCAGGGTGGGATGCAGCAGCCCTAGCATCATCTCACATCTTCGGAGGTGGCGTCATGGGACACGTGTCTAGACGGGGTGGCCTGGAAGGGAATCAAGCATGAGCAGAGATTCAGAGCCCAACATAAGTGGATTCATGGGTATCTGCACACCTGGGACCATAGGCGTGTGGGTGATGAAGGCCACTACTTGAGGAAGTGTGAACAGGCCGTGAGCAGACAGGACTGAGTGTGGGTGTGTCTGGGGGGCTGGGAAGTGGGGGTAATTCTTAAATCTCCGTTCACATGTGAGGCTACGTGAGACTGGGCTTGGAGGGGCCAAAGTAAGAGTGAGGAAAAGCAATGGGATCTTTGTAGGAAGACATGCTAAAACTTGGTGAAATATTAAAGATGGGGGAGTTGCCCCCAATTTTCTGTTTGGGAAGACTAACACCAACAGCGGTGGAATGAGAGACGGATTTGAGTAGAGAAAGACAACAACATGGTGATGAAGTGAAGATAAGAGACTGGAACGGAAGTGAAATGTCTTTTTCTCCAAAGTGATCCTCAGAGGTGCAGAGAGGTTGCGAAGCCCCCCGCACCCCACCTCTATTACCAGTCACCTCAAGGTGCTACCTGAGGGTATGGAAGCCACCTGCTAGGCTGTCACATTTGAGGGCATCCTTGGTGAAGACAAAAAACTTTCAAAATTATATTTGAAATTATATTTTCTGAAGGCCTTCATATAAGAAATTGTCATTGGAATTCTTTCTTTAAAAAACTTTTTTACTGAAATGTAGTTGGTTTACAATGTTGTGTTGGTTTCAGGTGTACAGCAAAGTGAGTTATACACATCTATTCTTTTTTAGATTCTTTTCCATTATAGGTTATTGCAGAATATTAAGTATAGTTCCCTGTGCTATGCAGTACGACCTTGCTGTTTATCTACTTTATATATAGTAGTGTGTATATGTTAACCCCAAACTCCTAGTTTATCCCTCCCCCCCATCCCCTTTGATAACCATAAGTTTGTTTTCTGTGCCTCTGAGTCTGTTTCTGTTTTGCAAATAAGTTCATTTGTATCATCTTTTTTTTAGATTCCACATATAAGTGCTATCATATGATATTTGTCTTTCTTTGTCTCATTTACTTCACTTAGTATGATAATCTCTAGGTCCATCCATGTTGCTGCAAATGGCATTATTTTATGCTTTTTTATGGCTGAGTAATATTCCATTGTATGTATGTACCACATTTTCTTTATCCATTCATCTGTCAATAGACATTTAGTTTGTTTCCAAGGATTCTTTTTAAAAAAGACTTGGACTTACAAATAAATGCAGAGCATCGTTTTAGATATGCTCTGTCCCAGGTGGTAGCCACTGGCCACACGTGGCTATTGGGTGCTTGCCGCATGGCCAGTCAAAGCTGAGATGTGCCGTAAGTGTAAAATACACTCTGATTTTGAAGACCTAGTGTGAATAAAAACATGTAAAATATCTCATAATTTTTCTCTCTTGAGCATATGCTGCAATGATAATATTTTAGATATATTGCATTAAATAAAAATATATTGTTAAAATTACACCTGTTTCTTTTTACTTTTTTTTTTTCTTTTTTTTAAAGTAGTTACTGGAAGATTTTCAATTACATGGGTGGTTTACATGATATTTCTATTGGACAGCCCTGAGTAGATTTACCAGGAATGTATTTTGCCAGTCCCATTCATTTTATGAAGTCCTGTGTTTAATTGTTAAGGTTATGCATTCATGCTATGGCATTTACCAGCCTTATGTCTGAGATCAAGCAGTTAGGAACTAGAATTTTTTTGTTTTCCTTTGTGAATTCGATTAATGACTGCTACTGTTTTGCGTTTTCCAAAATTCAGTTATGATATGGTTAATCTCAAGATGGTGAGTTTTGAGGGCTATTTTATTTTATTTTTTCCTTTCCTTTTTTAAAGGGAAACTGCTCTGGAAATAGTTACCTCAGGGCATTAGGAATTATTTTATAAAACAAACGGACACCTCTCAAGATTCCCTAATCAGTTCTGGTGGCCCCCATCCTGGTTGTGTTGCCTTTGCTCATTAGAGCTGCGTTTTGGATGCAGACAGCATAGGTTGGGGCTCAAGCCTTGAAAAATGTGAATAATAGGAAAGCCGTCCTCCCAGGCTTTGGGGACTTCGTGAGTTTGTCTGCCCCTCGAGTAGAAGGGAACAGTTCCTGGTCATGGGATGTGAAGAGGTTCTGACGTTGCCTGGGCTGCTGCGGCTGAGGCTCCCGGGGAGGGGGCAAAACCTTTGGCGCTTATACTGAAGAGGACAGTGGGCCCTTGGGGCAGTGTGTTCTCTCAGTATTGGCTTCTTTTCAATGGAAGGGAACAAGTATTCAAAGGCGGCTGGGTGAATGACATTAAAGGCATGGTATAATAGAATGCTTTCATGTCTTACTGTTTAATAGCATTCACCCTTTTGTTTCCTGAAGACTTAATTTTGTTAGGAAAATGACTCCATAGACTGACTTAAACTGTGGCCACAGACTTCTGTCACTAAACATATTTTCTTCTTGTGCTTTGCAGATCATTAAAAAGCTGATAGAAAGAAAACAAGCCCAGATTCGGAAAGTCTACCCGGGACTTTCCTGTTTTAAAGATGGAGTCCTGCAGATCCCGATAGAAAGCATTCCTGGAATTCGTATGTATAGATCTTCTTCTAAAAGCAAAACCTTTCGGTAGTGCCATGACAGTGTTGGAAACAGTTATACCAGAATGCAGTGATTTGGAAAGCTTCTTCCCCTGTCTGTCTCCATTTGTGTTATTGTAGTCTTTAAGAAGGGAGCAAATGCTTTCCTTTTACATCTTTTCTCTGTTTCCCAGTGCAAACAAACCGGAAGAGAACTTAGTTGACCTCTTGTTGTAGCTGCTAATGTCCATCGGTTATGAGAGCCTGTTATTTGTGGCACCGTGCTGGACACTCCCCATATGTGACCTTGGTGGCAGGGAATTCTACTCAGAGGGGAAGGTTGAGTCTCAGGATGGTTAAGCCCTTTAACCTTAAACAGCGCATGGCCAGTGAATGTCAGGAATAGTAGCAGCCCCATCCTGGCCTCCTCGAGACATCTTGCTGTTGGTACCCTGCCTCACTGCCCTCCTGGGTGCAGCCTGCATAGAACTGTGCTTGGGCTGAATTAGTTTCCACAACCCTCTAAACAAGATGATTGCAAAGCATATACTTTGTTTCAAGTTCCCTATTTTAGAGTAGTTTTCCCAAGGGTTCTTCTCTGTGTGTATATTAGAGGTGAGTTGTATTGGGTTAAAACAGCTGTTTTTGTAGATCAAAAGCTATGAATATTGGTACTTTCATTCGGTTCAAATCCAGGATCATCCAGTATATTGAAGATTTAGTATAAACAAAACCAAAGCAAACAAACTAAAATTCTCCAGAGAAAATAAGACATTATATGGGCAAGATATATTTCTTCATTACAGAGTATACCCTACAGCAGATCTTACTTTCCTTGTCAGACCTGGAAATTTTGCTTCCGTGTATTATCTTATTAATAGCTCCTCTGTCACTGGATGCCTACATGTGCCAGGCATTCTTCTGTTTGTTTGTTTTGTGTGTTTTTACATATATCAACTAATCTCAAAAGGAATCACATCAGCTCAGTTTTGGAGTTCTGTTTTATAGGTTGATAAACAGAGGCAAAGGTTGACTAACTTATCTCGGGTACATTAGCTTTTAAGGAGAGAACAAGAAATCAGTCCTGGTCGATTGGACTCCAGGCTGTGTCTTCTTTCTGCTACAGTAAACCATCTTGCATTACAAGCAGGGTCTGCCCCAAATAAACTAGAGACCAGGACAGAGTTTGTTCCAACCTAAAACAACAGCTTAACTCTTTCACAGGGTGATTAGCAGAAACCGTGACTTAGGGTTTTAAAAAAATACACACCCACAGTACCAGACATATTTGTTTTTTATGCTTTCCTCTGAAAGGTTGAAGTTCCTGCTTTAAAAAGTACTAACAGACAGAGCAATGTCAGTCTTGGAAATGTTTTGTATTGTTAGGTGTATGAGGAAGTAAAGAATTAACTGTAGTTAAGTTCAGACTCTTCAGATATAGACATTTATTGAGTTGTGGCTATAATTTATTGTATTTTTGATAACTATTAAATATGTTATTCTCTTGACCAAAAGCAGTTCTCATTCAGTGTTTAATTTTGTTGATATATAGGAGAGACAGGCTGGAAACCGAGTGGAAAAGAGAAGAGGTAAGTATGATGGGCCAGAGGATATTAATGCAAGTGTTCTTTTTCCCCTCCCAGAAACTTAGAGAAAACAGGCAAACTGATTGTAGTCACCATCCCAACACTTGTTAGGTTTCAGTTTTCATAAAAAATTCTGGAATGGTTCTAATTTTAAGTTTCTGTAAAAATGAGCTGGAATCACTTGGCAAGAGAAGAGAAAACTAATCATTGTTCCTTCTTGTTTATTCTTTTCCTTTCAAGTAAAGAGCCCAAAGACCCCGACCAGCTTTATAGCACCCTCAAGAGCATCCTCCAGCAGGTGAAGGTGGGTGTTTTGTTTTCCTTCACCTCATGCAAATATTTTGAAATGATTTCCCACATGGCATTTCCATATTAGATACCTTACTTTTTTCTTTACCCAAGAGCCATCAAAGCGCTTGGCCCTTCATGGAACCCGTGAAGAGAACAGAAGCTCCGGGATATTATGAAGTTATAAGGTTCCCCATGGGTAATGCCATTAACATTTTCTAAGTATAGATTTAAAACTCTCTGGATGGCGGTGTGGGGGACAAAGGGGTGCCGAGGTTGATGTGCACTCTTCTGTTGTAGGGTGGAGGGCCGGTGGCATCAGAGCAGGAGGGGTAAAGGGGAGGGGATGGCCGTGTTCGTTAGGCTCCCACTGCTGCCCTGTAGCGCCCACACCATCCATGCGAGCTGCAGACAGCACTGGAGATGAGAGTCAGCTGTGTGGACATAACCTTGATTATATTCAGTTTGGTTGCAAATGGAAAAACATCAGCTTGTCCTCTTGATATGCTTGGAGAGTCTGAGAATTTTTGAAGGTAAACAGACGAAGTTAGATCAAGCCGCTTGACTGCTGTACTCTTAGATGGAGAAATAATCATTAATGCAGCTCTTGATTTTCCACGCTCTTGAAGGAGACTGAGTGTCACTAATTATACTCCTATTTTAAGCTTGGTCCCACATCCCCAAACAAACAAAAGAAATGCCTTTAGAAATGTAGAATTGTGGAAGTTGCTGCTGTGTCCGCACCAGGCTAAAAGGAATGATTAATTGAGTCAATTGAGAATCCCCCAATTAAACTAATTTGGCATTGTGCAGATGACAGACCACGAGCTGAATTTTTTTTTTTTTTTTTCCCCAATCAGCTGTGTGGCCATTTTTCTGGAGAGGGCCTGTATCTTCTGTCCCTTTTCTACCTGGTGCTAAGAAGGTATTAAGATGTGAAAGGAAGAGTGAAAGGGATCCATTAGCTCCCCGATAACAGAGTTATTTGTAGATTTTTCTGTGGCATTATCACACGAATGTTCTACACAGTGGTGGTAATGATTTCAGTAGTCTCTGGTCCTTAAAGTGGACGCACATCCGTACGCTTTTCTTTCCCTCTTCTATCTGCCTCGCTTCTGTGTACTTCAGTACACGAAAATCAGAGTAAGGGTTGAAGGAGTGTAGAATTCTGAATGGAAGGCTGACTTGGGAATCAGTATTTCCCAGGATGTGAAAAATATGCTAAAACCCTTTAAGTCCATTTCCAGACTTACCTGACCTTGGCATCCTCGTCACCTGGGCTGCCTCAAGTTCTTTTGTGAAATGCTCAGGGAGGTTGCGTGAGCCTGGGGAGAACGGTTTTCGGCCCTGTCCGTGTGCACTCTGAAGCCCTGCGGTGGCAGGTCCAGTGGGTCCTGTCTGTCATAGCCGACTCCCAGCCTGCCCTCTGGAAGCTTTCTGCTTGGTCCAGCCAGGGGAGGGTGGGAACCTCGCCAGCCGGACACCACTTGTGCGCACAGCTGAATGCTCGTGAGGGGACAGTTGACCCCACTGAGCAAGGCCAGTGGTGGGCTGAGGTGTGCGTAAGCAGCGTTAATGAAAACCGTAGATGGTGCTCTTTGGTTGGAGCCATGCTTTGTTTTCTTGGGATGCCCTTGCCCCTAAGATGGTCATGTCTTTGAGGACAAGACTGACAATCGGTAATTTCACTTTTTCTGCCATTGCCTTCATGGCTTTTTCAAAAAACATTTCTTCTCTTCCCCCCCACCCCCATGCCCTAAAAAAACCTCTTTTCTTCCATATGGATGAGATCCAACCTGTTTCGTTAAGGAAATGGCATTCAGTACAGCGTCTGAGGTGTGGCCCAAGCTTCCCACACATGGGTAGCTAGGCAGGTAGGCAGGGCTTTCCTATTTACCCAGAATTCCCAACTTTTGGGGATTTAATGAGTAATTTAGTGGTGTCTCCATGTTTGTTTTCACTAGTGTTCAGTCACCTTCTTTTGTAACCCAGGCCATTTGGTCAACCAAAAGCTTCTAAGAAGGCCAGAGGAAGGAAGCTGTTATCTATAACTTTAGAATGGAAAGGCAATAGAGAAAGGAAACATGCAGAGTTGGTTGTAATTATTCAGAAAGCTCCAAACACTTTCATGATTCTTTTCCTGCTGTATTTGAGGCTCTCCCCATCGCTCCTTTCCTCCCGCCTTCCAAAAACTAGTGGGGAGAGCTTTTGCGTAAACTTCTTTGTGTCAAGTTTCATTTTTTCCCCCTTTACTTTTGTTTTTTCTCTTTTGGTCACACGTCTCTTCCTTCTAAACATCGTAAACATGATATCAGGCAGCATATCCTAAGTGGTGGGCATTTAGGTGGGAGGAGGGTAAGCATCCAGTTTTACCCAGAGAGGCCGGTTCCACTGCTCTTTCTTTATTCAACGAGAGCACCTCTTCAGCTGTTCAGTTACACTCAGGTGACACGTTTACTGGGCTATTTGTCAAGCCTTTGTGTAGCTTAATACTTTTCAGTTTTTCTCTCCCTCCGAACTATTTCAGTTAGAGAAGAAAGAAAATGGAAAGTTGAATTCACAGATGTGATGACATACTTCTAACCAAGATAGGCTTTATTTAAAAAAAAAAAAAAAAAAAGGCTTTAGTCAAAGGAAATAGGTGAAAGCAGATATTTCCTATTTTTCCTTTGGAGTTTTGTGGTAGATTTAGGATTTTGCTGCAAATGAATTTCTCCCCATTTTGGGATGTTGCACATAAGTTTATTTATCTTATTAAATGATAATCCCAGTGTATTTGGTTGTCAGTTTCTCTCCCTCTGGAAAATTTGATAATATAGTGGGAATTTGGGTTGTTGGTAGTCAGAAGTATTTCTTTAGTGATTTTGACTTATTTTTTCATGCAGAGTTTATATAATTTTTTTCATATTCTTTTCCATTTTGGTTTATTACAGTTCCCTGTGCTATACAATAGGACCTTGTTGTTTATTTTGTATATAGTAGTGTGTATCTGCTAATCCAATTTAACAGTTGATATAATTTTTTTTTTTTTTTTTTTTTTTTTTGGTATTTGGGCCTCTCACTGTTGTGGCCTCTCCCGTTGCGGAGCACAGGCTCCGGACGCGCAGGCTCAGCGGCCATGGCTCATGGGCCCCGCCACTCCGCGGCATGTGGGATCTTCCCGGACCGGGGCACGAACCCGTGTCCCCTGCATCGGCAGGCGGACTCTCAACCACTGCGCCACCAGGGAGGCCCTAGTTGATATAATTTTTAATGATAGAACCAGACTTAGAGACAACTAGGGACCTATAAGTAGACAAATGTTAGCATCTTCTAATCTTCGTGGAATTCTTTAAATTGGTTCTGAGAGTGAAGATTAAAGAAGCCTCATTATATTCTTACAAGTTTAGATGAAGCATTGTTTTCCTTTGTAAAATAATTTAAAGCAAGTAGATATATTGGGAAAATATTCTTTTTGACAATTGTCTCGCAAGGCTTACTTGCTTTAGAAAATAGATTATTAAGTAAAGTTTGTCATTCTTATTTCACTGATGGAGCATGAAACTAAATTCACTGGAACCATTTTACATGCAAGGTCACCGGTATATTTGCAGATGTATTTATGATCTGTTTCTCCATTTTAGTTCTATCTCTACAGCACCAGAACAACTGTGAATTTAGAGAAACAAACTCAGTCTGATTGTTCTGATTTAAGTAATGAAATGATTCGATACAAATGTTCCACCTGCTGTGCTCCATGTATAGACAAAGCCTCTTCTGTATAATTCTGAATGAAGAGCTAACAGTACTTAGTTCATCGTACTTATTGCTGCTAATCTACTTAGCTGCCTCGTGCTGAAGAGGGGATTGGGCCAGATAACTAATAATGGTCCCTTCAACGTTAAAACACTGTGATTTTGCACAGGATACCCTCACAAAAGGAAGAACATAAGACTCAAGAACTGTTTTCCTTGATCATATGAATTTCTCTTAAAGAAAAACATTGGGATGGTGAAAATGTGATCAAACTGATGACATAGATTTCTTTCCCCGTCTCACTTTTGTCAGCTGGTTGGTTTAAAAGGAGTCAAAGATGGCTAATATTTTTTTTTCCCGTGCAGATCTGAAAACCATGAGCGAACGCCTCAAGAATAGGTACTACGTGTCTAAGAAATTATTCATGGCAGACTTACAGCGCGTCTTTACCAATTGCAAAGAGTACAACCCCCCTGAGAGTGAATACTACAAATGTGCCAATATCCTGGAGAAATTCTTCTTCAGTAAAATTAAGGAAGCTGGATTAATTGACAAGTGATATTTTTTTCCCTCTGCTTCTTAGAAACTCATCAAGCAGTGTGCCTAAAGCATGGTTTAGTTTTACAAAGAATTGGACATAATGTATTGAAGATACTTGTAATAATTAGCACTTTCAAAAAACAAACAGAAAACCTCCTCGTAGCTTTTCAGATATGTATTTAAATTGAAGTCATAGAACATTTTTATTTTATGGAATAGATTTTAATCTATTCACTACAATTAATGTCAACTTTCTATGGCATGTCCATTAGCTGAATATTCAATAATAGATGATCAGGGGTTTCCTCAAAATTTGTATATGAGGAAATTGCACATAGTACCAAGATTTGGGGGAATGCAGAAAATTTTCAGACCATGAATGTTTCCCTTTTTTTCTAATGGAATGTGAGAGTTTATTTTTATTTTATTCTGAAGGACTTTAAAGGAAGGGATGCATGATAAAAAGCCCGTAAAAGGTGAAATATGTGATGTTTGAAGTCTCATGGTAGACTTTTTATATATATTTTTAAAAAACACTCATCTAGGTGAGGTGCTTTGAGCAGTTCTGAAAAAAATGCAGTTCCGGAAAGCAACTGCTTTGATTCCTAAGGAAGAAATTCTAAATAGTGCAAACTTTTATAAGCATCCGGGTTTTTGATAATTCTGTCTACCTACAACAAACTTGTGAGTGCATAACCACTATTTTAATGATTACTTTCTCTACACGAGTGTGTAATACTATATTTGACTTTGCTTATGCAGGCCGTAAGTTCCAAAAGGCAATTTCCTGGGCCACAAAGGCATCCATTTGAAAACACTTGAGATGGAATCAACATACTTTAACAAAAAAAGATGTATAATCTATTTAATGTATCAAATTTAGTGAATCCTTGTTCTATTAAATAAGGATTTTTTGCCCTTTCTACAATACACACAACCCCCCTGATACTGTATTTATGAACATTTTTCCTTTTGCATCTCCAGATTATATTCATCGTCGGAGATGAATTAAATTACCACCAAGATTTGCTCTCAGTATTTTAATACCTACGTTGGTATATATACCCAGGGTAATACTATCCCACTAAAATCCATCATACAACCTTATTAACCCGTCTTGGGATTCCAGCTTAGTGCTTGGATTTATTTCCTGATTAACACTACATTGAAAAGTGGGACGTCCGCCATCCCAACTCTGGGAGAACCAACTCATGTAAAACAAACGAAGGCCACCTTGATGGTCTCGACACTAATTTTTATGATACAAATTTATAAACTGATTTTTGTAAAGGACTAGGTTTAAAGGTATATTTAACTTGATGTTTTCTATCAGCATAAAAGAATTGAAATGATTATTTGATAGACATTAAACACAGTTGCCAGAGAGAATCTGCATGAAGGAAAAAACCCTGCAGATGGCTGTGAAGTTGGAAGGATTGTTTTTAATGTGTAAGATATATTCAGAATGCTCACAACTGAGAAATGCCTCAACTTTTTAAAGTATAAGAAACCACCTTGTGTGGCATCTGGATTTCTAATGAAGAAGGATGATACAGTTTGGATTAAGTAACTTGGACTGGTTTTCCACAGTGCTTTGTACTGGATCTGCCGAAGCATCTGGCCAGCTTGGTATCCTGTGAAAGTTTGTTATTTTCTGGGTAGACATTCTTATAGAGTATTGTCTTTAAAATCAGATTGTCTCTTCTATATTGAAAGCATTTTTATGTTTTCTAATTTAAAAATTAATATTTTCTTATAGATATTGTGCAATAAAGCTGAAGTAGGATGTGTGGTTTTTGCAAATGCTTTAACAGCGGATAAAATTTTACATTTGTAAAATTAATATATTGTACTGGTACAAAATAGTTTTAAATTATATTTTAAAAAGCTCTTAATCTGGTGGTGTGTTTTCTTCTTCTGGCAGATTGAGTTTACAGGGCAAATGTACGATCTGTTTGATGACTGATTACATCCTTAGTTCTTAGGTCGTAAGCATGTCGAGGAAGGTGTTCAGAATTGTTGCACTTGTGTGAAGTTTCAAAAAAATTCACAGCCCATCAGTGAGAGATTTTCAAGAGGAGAGACACTTATTGTGTCTCTGGAGTGATCCACTGCATCTTGCCCATTGACACTCAGGAAAAACATCCAGCTAAAGAAGAGTGTTATGGTTTTAGAAACAGTCCCGCACTCGCCCCCAGTTTTTCTACTTTGCATCTGTGAGATAGATGAATGAAGAGAGGGACAGAAAAAAATACAGCAGATTTTTAGACATCTCCCATATGAGCTTCTACTGTTACTCAAAGTGCTGAGTGTAGGAAAGTAAACTTTATCCTGTTGGGGTATGAGTACCCACCAAAGAGCACACCGCTTCCTTTCTGAATTTTGAACCAGCTAAGCAGTCAACAGATTAAGGCACATGATGGCCAAAGCATCTTTATAAATAATAAAATGCATTTTGGAGGTTGTGACTTGTGTATCTATGGAAAATGGGCTTTCTGATACGGAACCCCAGGATGTGGTTGACTCACCAGTTGCCAGCAGCTCTGCACCACTGCGGACGTCCCCCTACCAAGGCAGGGCCTTTTACCCTTAAGCTTAGTGCACGGCCCAGGACAGTGATGCTGTCTGAAGGCAGGTCAACTCCAAAGAGGTACAGGTGAGGAAGGAGCAGAGCTAGGCCACTTCCTTCCCTTAACTCATCAATGAGGCAGGTTCCTCCCGGGGGAGGGAGGCATGAGGGGCAGAGGGAAGCCGGGGCTGAGGGATGTCCTTCTACGGAAAAGTAAACATCCAGAGCGAAGACTAGGTTTCCCTCCCATCCCAGCCCATCTATCCATGGTCAAAAATCTCAACTCTGGTTGTATTCATCAGAAGAAAAGAGGGAAAAGACGACTTTGTGGTTTTCATGTTACCTGGAAGTAAAATTTATAATTTTGCAACCTAAGGAGTAGAAACAGGATCAGACTGAGGTACTGTGGACAGGTTAATAATGTACCACCCCTTTAAGCTGATATTCTTCAGACCAGCCCCTTGGTGTTCATTTAAAAGCTTCTAAGAGCTTTGGAGGAAGACTCTCGACAAAGTAAGCAGAGGACTTCAGAGGTGAGACAACACCCGTAGGTATCACGAAAAGTTTTCAAATGTAATTCATGTATATTTATGCCTTGGTTTCTGTGTGTGGGGGGCATCTTTGCTTTTTTTGTGGAAAAAGGAAGCTAACAGTTTCAAAGCTGGAGATTTTCTTTGGATTTATTAAAAGCGGAGATTTTCTTTGGGTTTATTAAAAGCAATAATTTCAACAAAGAAGAGAAAAGCCGGGAAAGCCCGAGTCAATCTTCCTGCCTCCTTCTTGTTACTGGGAAGCCCAGTACCACCACCTTGGCAGAGTGAGCTTAAAAAATGTTATTTGTGTGTGTGTAATTTTCTGAGCTGAAACGAAGGTTTATCAGTTTTTGTTTATCTAGGTTTGAAGTTCTTTTAAAGAAATCCCTTAGAAAATGTGTTGCACCAAAGGACCTTCTCAAAATAAGGCACGTGTTCACAAGCTTTCTGCATACTGGCTCGCTTGGTTCTTGGATCTGTCCTGAAATTCACTGGTCTCTGTTCTTTGCTCTGTTAACTTCCCATTTTTGACAGTTATTAGGTGGATATCTAACTTATGCTAAAAATATCTAGGAACAGAGAATCTGCCTTTTTGTTCGATAGGGCAGTCCAACAACAAACACAGGCAAAGGTGATAAAGTCCTTAGGTTGGGTTGATGTTGGCTGTTTTAGAGTTGAGTAGAACACACTCTTGGTTCATACTGTAAGTCAGTGCATCAGCACTGCTTCTCAACATACCCAAACACACTTGTATGGTTGTAGCTCTGTGCACAACTTAACATCATATATATATACATATATATATATATATATATATGTGTGTATATATATATATATATTTTAAATTGAAGTATAGTTGATTTACAATGTTGTGTTAATTTCTGCTGTACAGCAAAGTGATTCAGTTATATCTATATATAGATAGATAGATGCTTTTTTTTGGCTGCATCGGGTCTTCGTTGCTGTGCACGGGCTTTCTCTAATTGCAGCGAGCTGGGGCTACTCATTGTTGCAGTGCGCGGGCATCTCATTACGGCGGCTTCTCTTGATGCGGAGCAAGGCTCTAGGCACGTGGGCTTCAGTAGTTGCAGCACACAGGATCAATAGTTGCAGTGCATGGGCTCTAGGGTGCACAGGCTTCAGTAGTTGTGGCACACGGGCTTAGTTGCTCCGCGGCATGTGGGATCTTCCTGGACCACGGATGGAACTCATGTCCCCTGCATTGTCATACTCTTCTCCATTATGGTTATCACAGGATATTGAATGTAGTTCCCTGTGCTATAGAGTAGGACCTTGTTGTTTATCCATCCTGTATATGATAGTTTGCATCTGCTAACTCCAAACTCCCACACCATCCCTCCCCCACACCCCCTTGCCCTTGGCAACCACAAGTCTGTTCTCTATATCTGTGAGTCTTTCTGTTTCATAGATAAGTTCATTTGTGTCATATTTTAGATTCCCCACATGAGTGATGTCATATGGTATTTGTCCTCTCATTTTGACTTACTTCACTTAGTATGATAATCTCTGGTTCCATCCATGTTGCTAAAAATGGCATTATTTCATTGTATTGGGTTGGCCAAAAGGTTCGTTCAGTTTTTTCTGTAAGATGGCTGTAGTAGCACTTAGTTGTCTTTTTAAAAAAAATAATTAATTAATTTTGGGCTGAGTTGGATCTTTGTTGCTGCGCAGGGACTTTCTCTAGTTGCGGAGAGCGGGGGCCACTCTTCATTGTGGTGCGCGGGCTTCTCATTGCGGTGGCTTCTCTTGTTGCAGAGCATGGTCTCTAGGTGCGCGGGCTTCAGTAGTTGTGGCTCACAGGCTCTAGAGCACAGGCTCAGTAGTGGTGGCGCACGGGCTTAGTTGCTCTGTGGCATGTGGGATCTTCCTTGACCAGGGCTTGAACCCGTGTCCCCTGCATTGGCAAGCGCATCCTTAACCACTGCGCCACCAGGGAAGCGCCATTTAGTTGTCTTTAACTTCATTTGAAACAGTTTTGTTAGATTGTATGTGACAGCTGTCATATCAGTGTGCATTTAAAAAAGTCATCAGGACTTCCCTGGTGGTGCAGTGGTTAAGAATCCCCCTGCCAATGTAGGGGACATGGGTTCAAGCCCTGGTCCAGGAAGATACCACATGCCACAGAGCAACTAAGCCCGTGCACCACCACTACTGAGCCTGTGCTCTAGAGCCTGTGAGCCACACCTACTGAAGCCCACGTGCCGAGAGCCCATGCTCCACAACAACAGAAGCCCTGCTTGCTGCAACTAGAGAAAAATCCACACACAGCAACAAAGACCCAACACAGCCAAATAAATAAATAAATTTAAAAAAAAATTAAAAAATTAAAAAAAATAAAAATATCAAAATTGGTGAATTTTTGTGTAGCCATTTTAATATTGAAGATCAAAGAAAAGACACAACATTTTTCACATATTATGCTTTATTATTTCAAGAAAGGTAAAAACACACCGAAACACAAAAAAAAGATTTGTGCAGAAGGTGCTGTGACTGACTGAATGTGTCAAAAGTGGTTTGCAAAGTTTCGTGCTGGAGATTTCTCGCTGGACAATGCTCAACCATCAGGTAAATCAGTTGAAGTTGACAGCAATCAAATAAAGACATTAATTGAGAACAGTCAACGTTATACCATGCAGGAGATAGCCGACATACTCAAAATATCCAAATCAAGTGTTGAAAATCATTTACACCAGCTTGGTTATATTCATCGCTTTGATGTTTGGTTTCCACGTAGGTTAAGCGAAAAAAACCTTTTTGACTATTTCCACATGCAATTCTCTACGTAAACGTAACGAAAATGTTCCATTTTTAAAACAAGTCGTGACAGGCAATGAAAAGTGGATACTGTACAATAATGTGGAATGGAAGAAATTGTGGAGCAAGTGAAATGAACCACCACCAACCACACCAAAGGCCAGTCTTCATCCAAAGAAGGTGATGTTGTGTATATATTGGGATTGGAAGGGAGTCCTCTATGATGAGCTCCTTCCAGAAAACCAAATGATTAATTCCAAGTACTGCTCCCAGTTAGACCAACAGAAAGCAGCACTTGATAAAAGCATCCAGAATTAGTCAACAGAAAATGTGTAATCTTCCATCAGGATAACACAAGACTGCATGTTTCTTTGATGACCACACAAAAACTGTTACAGCCTGGCTGGGAAGTTCTGATTCATCTGCCGTATTCACTGGACATTGCACCTTTGCATTTCCATTTATTTAGGTCTTTACAAAATTGTCTTAATGAAAAAAATTTCAATTCCCTGGAAGATTGTAAAAGGCACATTGAACAGTTCTTTGCTCAAAAGTAAAAAGTTTTGGAAAGATGGAATTATGAAGTTGCCTGAGAAATGGCAGAAGGTAGTGGAACAAAAGGGTGAATATGTTGTTCAATAAAGTTCTTGGCAAAAATGAAAAATGTGTCTTTTATTTTTACTTAAAAACCGAAGGCACATTTTGGCCAACCCAATATATAAACTACATCTACTTTATCCATTCATCTGTCGATGGACCTTTGTGTTGCTTCCATGTCTTTGCTATTGGAAATAGTGCTGCTATGAACATAGGGATGCATGTATCTTTTTGAATTAATAGTTTTGTCTGGATATATGCACAGGAGTGGGATTGCAGGATCATATGGTAGCTCTATTTTTAGTTTTTTGAGGGACCTCCATGCCGTTTTCCATAGTGGCTGCAGCAACTTGCATTCCCACCAACAGTGTAGGAGGGTTCCCTTTTCTCCACACCCTCTCCAGCATTTGTTATTTGTCGA